GAAACCCCACCCAGCTACGCCCACTTTTTATATGCCCCTGAAAAAAACGCTTTGATTGATGTGCAAACAAAATTATTTTGCTGCATACTTCCAGGCGAGCGCATTAAAGCAGTCGCTCAAGTTTAGTGTGACTGTGTTTGCATTTCGCATTGCCTGCTTTTTGGGGCTGGATGGTTTCTTTTGGGGTGGGGGTGGTTGGCGGCTATAAAGGACCTTCATCTAATGCTGGCCGCCATTAAAATCATCTTACCTTTCTCACTTTTTGGGGCGCTCCTTTGTTGGGGCATGGGTCGCATTAAAAATTCGAATATATTTCGGTTAAACGAGGCAGGTAACATTGAGTAAGCAACTAAGGCAGTTAATGTTTTAGCAGCGAAGTTGAGATACACTCCCATTTTGACTTTTTGGAAGCTTAAATTTGTGAAAGTGTATAAAATATTTCAAATAAATTTAATTAATATGACAAGGCGAATTATTGAATAAAATTGAGTACCTAAAATTAAAACAAGCAACAAAGAAATCCATATATCCTTGATTATTACCCAATTATTATTTTTTCTTACTCCTAAACAGCAGCAAAAACCACAACTTTTTATTTCCAGCACAATTTCAATAATAACTTCCAAAAAATAACTTACCACACACTTATTCACATATTATATATCTCTAATCTGGCTATATATCTGTGATTTCATCTCAATATCATGCCTCATTCAACATCTTAAATGTCCATTATAATGTGAGTGCTTCTGCTAGAGTATTAAAAACGAAACGAAATTTCAATTTACTTTCAAGTAGACGACGCACAACATATAAAAAAAAAAAACAAAACAAAAAAAGAATGAAACTTGGCTGCGGCTTTCGCATTACATTTAACTTTTCTCGCCTTATATTTTATTCAAATGGCTCCACATTATTATTTTTCTTCTTTGTTTTGTTCGCCACTCCGCAGGATAACTTGAGCTGCTTGAGTGCCTGACATTTTCACATTTTGCTGCCGTTAAAAACCAAATTGCAGAGGAAAACAACAGCCAGAATGCGGCCATTACTCGGCCCTCCTTGCTCTCCTACAATTTCGTTTTCTGAGCAGGCTGGCACACTTTTCAAGTCCAAGTGGGATTTGCCAAGGGGTCACTAGCAGTGCTGCCGAAAAATGTCGAGCAAAACTATAAGAATAGAAATATTAGAATATAAACGGGAAGGAGAGTCGTTACCATACGAGTCGACAATTTGAAACGGGGATGAAATTTTAAGAAAATTATATCTTGAGTTGACTTGAAATACAAAATACATCAATTTTTTTATTATTTTAGTTATTTCTATATATAGTTTAATATACAATGTTCTATTTTTCTTCATCTCTAACTGAAAAAATCCTTAAGCTAGCAGCTTTCCTCGAAGATTTTCCACTGCCATTAGGCGGCTCTCGTGTGCCGCCCAATTTGAATAATATTTTCATTCAGACACGAGCTCAGGTGCTAAGCCCCGGCCTAATGAGAAGAGATCCATCCCGAACAATCGGATCAGCCAAGTTTTTAAGTGAATTTAAACCGAGACCGCATGGCAGAAGTTTCCGACTGCTCCATTAATTGAGTTACGGCAAGAGGGCAAAAGGCAACAGAATTTCATTACGCATACGCCCCGTTGCATGACCGGCAATAAACAGAGAGGCCAGAGTTCGGGCAAAAGTTTGCTGCTGCTGCAAACGTCATTAGTTTTAATAATATTTAAACAGCCAACGCACAAAGGAAAGTGGTGTTCTTGCCCAGGACATGAATGGGCGGCGTCAGGCAGTCACAACATTTGTTTGTCCTGCCCGCTTTGAAAATTAATGAGGAGTGACATACACATTTGCTGCTTCAGTGCATTCCTCTCCTGCCTCTAATTTGCCACGTGAATACCCCCTGTCCCATCCTACAAATCCAAAAATCATTTCACTCTCCACCATTGAACGTCAATCAAAATTTAGGTAAATTAAATTGCTCTCCTAATCTCTGCTTCATCACTAAGCGATTACCGAGAACGCAAATATAAATCGAAATTAAATAAGTAAATTCTGTTCATCAAATTAATACCTACTTGTTCACTTGAAATTAAGAGCGAGCTACAATTCAAGGAAATTGGACAAGGTAAAGACAAAAGCAAAGCAAAGATTAATTAGATTTATTAAATTCTTAGATTTTATATTTCCTATTAAAGTTACAGAAACTTACGAAACTTTAATTAATTATTAATAAGGAAGAACGCCAATCTGCTTCCTTTCTCAATACGAATTAGGTTATTCTTCCCTTGCAAGGGTATTATAATTTTAGTCAGAAACTTGAAACACAGTGAAGGAATCATTTGCGACCCTATAAATCATATATATTCTTGATCAGCATCAAAAGCTGAATTGATCTAGCCATCTCCAGGAGAAAACGAAATTTTTTATTTTTTCAATATTTTATTAGGGTTTAAAATTGTCGATAAAAAGTGGTAAAAATTAAAAAAAAATTTATTTTAAATAAAGTATGCAGATCTATCAATCTAATAAAAACTAAGATAAGCCTTTTTTCCGAATTAAAATTTATATTTTTTTGGCTTAGTTATGACTTTTTTAAATTTTGGTTTGTCGAACAAATTGCCATATTAAAGTATCTATATATATTGATTTAAAGAATGCGAATATTTTAAGTTTACAAAGTGCAAAGGTATGTATACTTCTTCTTTTCTTATTAAGTTTCCTTTCTTGGTTTTCAATTCATTAAAAACCGAGTTACCAAACGAGTAAAACCCCTACTTTTGACTTACAAAACATAGAATTGTAGATTTGCATTTAAAAAAATAATAAATTATTAAATATTCTATGTGCCATCACTATTATTTATCTCTCCAGCTTTGTCTAAAATATATACCAACTTTATGTATAATATATTTTCCCCAAATGTCTTGCATAATTCATTAAAAATCCAATCAGCTTCAAATCTTTCCCATTGAACAACTTAATTGATATATTAATAATGCAAGCTCATTAACTGATTATTCATTTTCCCTCCCCCTTGAACTTTTCAAGTTCCTTGGGTCCTCAAGCAGTTTTCGATACTTTCTTGGCACTTTTTGTGGCGCAATAATTCCAGCAAATCGGCTGCCCAATCGGTGGTCGCGAAATCGACAAAAAATAATTTACATAATTAGTGAGAAAGCGTCTGGCGACTGGGACCAACATGAAGAAGGAAAAAGAAAAAAAATCTGAAAATAAATACTGTACATAAATTATGCGAATAAATAAACAAGGGGGTTTTCGTTAAATGTGTTAATTTGCAACTTTCTAAATTAATGCATACACATATAAATACATTTCTGTTTGTATTTCGCCATTTTCTTTTTCCCGCCATTTTTGCTTTTCTTCTTCTCTTCTAATATTCCTCGAATTTGGTTGTTTTTTTCTTCTTTTTGCATTGCTTTTATTTCCTTTCCTGTTTGCGCTTCAATTAACAATAACTTGTTACAGACGCAAATTGAACTTAAGCTTCCAAAATTTAAATAAATAAAATAAATGCTGTGCTAAATAAAAAATTCAAAGGCGAAAACAAACAGAAAATAACGCGTTAATGGTTGAGTGTGATTTTCTTTTTATCTCAAATTGTTTTGCTCTGCGCAAAAACTGAAGTGAAATACTCGTTTTTTGGTAGGCGGGTGTTAATTTTGTTGGAATTTATTTTGGTTTTACAACGGTTACAGGTGCTTTAAAAGCACCAATTGCTGACACTCACAGATACCGAAACCAGAGAGTGTGGGAAACAGCTATAGGCCACGCCCTTTTTGGCCAGAATTTCTGTAAGCCAGTGGCAATTTAATATGGCAGATTTTTCGCCAAATTTATTTTAAACAAAAATCTGGGAATATTGATATTAATTCTGTAGATTGTAAGCTGATACAAATTGGATTTGCTTACCTTTTTTTACCTTACTCTCAAGGCCAATTTCTTTATTTTCCTTTATATTGATTTTTAATGATTGAAAAATATTTCATATTTATTTGCCAAAATATATTTTATAAATTTAATTGTGTTTTCCAACTGTTTGACATGTGATGGGGTTTGTTTTTTAGATTTGCCTTATCTATATATTTTACTTAGAACTCAAGTATTCATATCCTTCTTAAATATTTTTTTACACACTTGCGTATACTGTCCTTTGCTTATTTAAATATTATTTGCTTACTAATTCAAATTGTCAATAAAACTACTAGTTCATATTGCTTCCAATTAGCTATGATATCAGCCCCAACCTTTGGGATATTTTTGCACAAAGCAAAAAAAGAAAAACAACAACATATGAAACAATTTCCATTTTGATTATATTGGCATTGGCATTTCTTTTTCGATTCGCATTCGAATCGCATGTTCAAGGGAGAAAAATGCAGCCATAAACGAAAATCGCAGCGATTAGCTTAAATTGCTGGGAATCTTCAAAGAGACCCTCGAGCCAAGCACACAGACATTGCACAGACAATAAACCAATAAACGAAAGCCATCTGAGTGACCCATAAAGAGGGGAGGAATTCGGAGGTGAGCAGGGGTGCCTACACAGAGGGGAAAAATACATCAAGGTATATTAAAGCCAGTTAAATAAATTCCCTAAAAAATCTTACAATATATTATCTAGCTTTCATAAAGTGATTATATGTTAGAAGATAACTAAAAGAATTTAGATTGATTTTCAAAAATAAATAAACAAAACCCGTTTGAAAAAATTTTAAGAAGGGTAAACTTGGTTAGGGAATTAAAATATGTCGTAGTTTTAAACCAGAATAGCTTTAATTTTGTATATATATTTAATATACGAACACTATTGATTCCAGTTTTCAATGGCTTTAAGGAACTCTTTTATCTGTACTCTTCCAACTTCATTATTAACTCCAAATAGGAAATATTTGTTTAAATTATTTTTTCTGCGACTCCCTTCTACTTTTATGTTATATATTGTTTAAAATATTTTCTGCTACCCCCCTTTCAAAGTCTATTAGTATTATTTCTCTCTGTGCAGGGCAACAAATGTGCAAATTAAGTAGCTTAGGGATTGACATAAGTGTAAGTGCCCCACAGATGATGCTGCGATGGATTCTGATGCTGTTGCTGATGCTGATGCTGCTCCTGCAGTGGCTGCTGCAGCTCCTGCTGCTGCTCACTCAAGGCGGGGGCCAGGGAGGCAGTTACTCCTCCACTGGCATTGGCATATGGCTGCTGTGGGGCAAAGGGCGAGCCCTGGGAGCCCTGATTACCAATGGAGGAGGAGGTGGTGGATGTGGGATAGCCCAAGTGCTCATAGTAGGCGGCACACTCCACCACCGGCTGCGAACTGACACTGGAGCAGGCCGAGGAGAGCGAAGCGGAGGAGTTCAAAGGCGGTGAATGGTGATGCGTCATGGGCAGCATTTGATCCATGAGATACTGGTCAATTTCCTTGGGATCGATGTCGGCGGCTGAAGCGGCGGAGGAGGAGACGTTGGCACTGGTGGGCTTGTAATTTAAGGCTCCACTGGCCTGTGACGCCTGCTGAGACTGTTGCTGCTGCTGCTGGTGGTGATGCTGCTGCTGCTCCGTGCCAAATCCTCCCCCAGTTGCAGTGTAGGAATAGCCTGGGTAACTCACCCTTCCGCCCGCGTAGCCGCCATATCCATTTATATTCTCCAGGAAGTCCATTTCCTGACCTGCCGCCGATGCTGTCGCCTGTGCCTGGTAATTGACCTCACCCAGAGCTATGTACTCCCTGCCGGCCTCCATAAGGACGCCATAGTCGTGGCCAGAGCCATTCGCCACCGGCTCACTCAGTTGCCGCAGCAAGAGGCTTGGGTTATTGCCTCCTGAAGCTACTGCAGCTGGAGCAACTGTGGAGCGGCCAAGGTTCGCCGAGGAGGAGCCTCCACTGTATGGCGTGGCCGGGGGCGTCAGCGAGGAGAGGGAACTGCCCGTAGAGCAGGGTGAATCCAATCCGGTTTCACTGCCCAGACTGAGACCCTGCTCCATCAGGCTGGCCGCACAGGCACTGTTCAGGGACTTCATGAAGGCCTCATTACTGAAGACATCGGAGCTGCTGCTGCTGCTGCCGGTCAGCACCAAATTTGCACTTGAATTGGAACTAGAGTTGGCCGTTGTACAAAGGCCCAATCCTGATGCACTTCCCGATTTTCCAGCTCGCCTCTGGCCATTGCTGGCCATGGTGGAAGTGCTGCTCCTTGGCTTGGAGCTGGAATTGGAACTGGATGATGGTAAATCGGCTCCAGAAGGAACTCCACCTTCCCCTTGGCTTTGTGGTTGCATGACGCGAGCCTTCTTGCGACGCGGCTGGTATTTGTAGTCGGGATGCTCCTGCTTGTGGGTCATCCGAAGTTTCTCCGCGAATTCCATGAAAGGTTTCTTATCGCTATCCTTAAGATTTCTATAAAAAAAATATAAAATTGTATGTCAGAAGCAGAAAGTAATATGTTTAAGGTTTTAAAGGGTGTTAAGAGGAATACTTAACAAATTCTTTCTTTATGAAGAGATAAAGGTATAAATTGTTGTTGTTTTTTGGTATTCTAAATAAACTTTGTTAAACCCTTTTTTATGTGGTAAATTTTCCTTGGTTTATACATAAATTTATTTTACTTTGCTTTGATTCCATGTTCATTCCAATTAATTCTTCTTAAGTCTTTTTTTTTGTACTCTCTGTGACACTCAATTAAACAATCTTTATTTATGGCTTAACAAATTGGTCCAGCATCTCGCATTCCCAATTAGTTGAGGCGGATGCTTTGCTTTCTTATCAGTGGAAGAATGCTTATCTCTGGCCCCCAAAGCACTGAACTGTGAAATTTTAATTTCAAACCGGACAATATTTTATTACAAACAATGTAGGAAAACGACGCCGCTGTGGCGCAGATCGCGTTTGGCCTGACAGTTTTGGATTAATCTGATGCATCTGTGACAGATAGATTTCTAGGGAGAGAAGCAAGTGATTCACGCGATCGGAAATATAAAATATTCTAAATATAATTCGTTTCTTGAATTAGTGTGCAGGAATTCCGCAATCATTTTACTATATGAGAGAGTTGAAATTCGATTTTATATTGACTTAGGTCAGATTCTTTGTTTCTTCTCTTTAATATGTTAATTCTATAAATATTTTAACATATACTGGTATTTTTTATACCTACATTTAATTGCTACAAATCCAAAATCAAATATTTGATTTAGAACAAATAGAGTTACACTAACTATATTTATCTCCCCTTTTATATTTATCTGACTTTATTTATTGTTGCTTTAGCTGGGATAGTCTTTGAGTACCTGATATCATTTGGTTGCCACTGAGAACTGTCTCCTAATGCAATTCCCTGTCTTGGTCAAAAGCCCTTAAATAAACTTGGAGGGGATGGGTGTCCCCCACTCACTGACTGCGTCTCCTGGTGTCTTCTTTGTCTGGCCAAGAAGTGGAGCTTATAAAAGACACTTTCCAAGTGGTCCATGCCCCAACGTTTATGCTGCCTGAGACGTGCTTCTCCCATTTCTTCATTTTTGTACTTATACTGGAGGCGAAAGAGGGTCTAGGGGTATATTGTACTTAAGAGAGTGTATGTAACAGGCAATAAGAGAAGTAATTGGTGATTTGAAGACAATGAAAGGTAAATTAGAGCTAGCCTTTTATTTTAATAGATTTTCATGTAATATTTCTTTGCCACTCCCATATATATTGTATTATTTCTGTACTTATTCTTTGAGCCAAGTTAAATTTTACCACACTATTAAAGACAATCTAAGGGTATCGCTTAGTCCCCTTAAATCCTAATTTTTCCTTGCCTCTTTCCTCATTTTGAGTGGTATATATATATATATATACATAGTTTACTTACTTCCAGAGTTTGCCCAGCGATTTGCTGAGCTCCGAGTTCTGTAGATGCGGATACTGCTTGGACATGACCCGACGGGCTGCCTGGGCCCAAACCATGAAGGCGTTCATCGGACGCTTGATGTGCTCCTTCTTGCGATCCGTGGGCGCCCTGCAAAATGCAATGGAAAAAGAATCGGAAAAGTGAAAAATCAGTGGGGGCTTCTTAGTGACTTGTTGACCCGGGTAAATAAGTTTTCATTAATTGCAAAAGGACGTCCACGAAAAACGCACCCAACAACGAATAATGTCAAACTGAAAATTGCAATTAAAACTTTTCTGTGCCGCCTCGGGCAAGACAGGACTGGTATGAAATAGTGGTAAATAAGAGCGAAAAGATGGATTCAAGGCCGGCCAGAGACCAACAAAGTTTAAGAATGCAGTCAAAATTATATTTTATATACATTTATATTTTTTCATTCCTAAGATTGAAAGAAAATGAGCAACGGGGGCGGCGGCAAAAGTGAAGTGCAAACAAAAGCAATCAGGGAAAGCGTGCAAAATGCTAGAGAAGTGAGCTCTCTGCGTTTGCCGTAGAACTTGTGCTGAAAATCTATTTCAAATTTTTTGCAATTGGAATCCTTTAAGTGGTTGCCAAAACTCTTGACTCTGCATAAAGTATGCATCGAGTATTCCTCTTTGTGAGTCCATCAATTTGTCTTTTCCCGGGCCTTGCAAATAATTCAATTGACAAGATGTTCCCAGTTCGTGCAAATAAAACTGACGAGGCGTATGATAACTTCTCTAGTCCACATTGAGGCATTTTGGGTATATATACATACATGTGTATCAAATCTTACATAGAATATTGAATATTTGGGCACAGGGAGAAATATTTAGTTAGCTGGGAGAATATTTGGAAATAATAAAAGAATTAATTACCTGGACACCTTGAAATGTAAGTATTATAATTTAGTATTTTATAAAAAAAAGCTTTCTTACAAATTTCCTATATATTTTCCATCAGTTCCCTTTTATATAAACTCCCAGTTTTAAAAATGGAATAATTTGTAAGCCTATTTAAACGTATCAAGCTTATTTTGAAATATTACTAATTTTGATTTAAATACTTTTCTGACAGTGTGAAATTCACCTCTCTAACTCACACATACGAGCTCCCTTTACATTGTTTTTATCTATATATTCATTTTTATTTAGGATGTCGAGCAGTGAGGAATACAATAAAGCCAGAGATTCAATCAAAGAGATAGGCGTGCCAGGAGGAGGAATTGGGCTGGCATTGTGGCACAATGCTGAGATTTTCCTCTGACTGCCCATCTTTTTCGGTTTTCCTTGTATATTGAATTATTTATCCTAAGTAAACATGATCAGGGCCAGAGATTTGTTAGGTAAATCTTTCAATTGAGTTGGGCGAACCTGTGCGTGGGAGTGCTAATGCCTTTCTGTGGGTGGGTCTATTCGATATGCCTGGCTGCATTCTAGGCCGCAAAAGGTACAAAGTATATAGTAGAAGCTGTTTTCAATCAAAGCAAATCAATATACAGGTGTTCTCTGGTGTTTTTCCTGACTCTCTGTGCTCAAATTGTCCTCAATCGATGAGCAAATAAAATGTAAAAAATAAAGTGGAAACAATTAACTAAACAAGAAAGGAAGTTAACTTCGCCACGCCGAAGTTTATATACCCTTCCAGATAGGACTTCTAAGACTAGGAATCCCTACAATATAAATTATGTATATTTATGATTAAAAACAATGAAGTAACACCTGTTTTCATTTCATTCACCTAAACATATTATATTTGCAGTTCACAGATTTGCATTTTTCCTCTACATCAAACGATCGTTTGTATGGCACAGTCGTCCGATTTTCATGAAATTTTACACAAAATTTAAGACTAATATAAAATGGCTATACCTCAAACTTGTTGAAAATCTGTTGAAAACTGAAAATGTTATAATTTTTTTTGTAAAAATTCTCCGGTCATTCCAATGGCAGCTATATGATATAGTCGTCCGTTCCGACATATATACGAGTGAGAGTATATAGAAGGCTAACTACTTTCATTCAGATAGCTTCAAAACTGAAAGACTAGTTTGGGTAGAAACGGACAGATGGACAGACGGATAGACGGACAGAAGGACAGAAGGACAGACGGACAGACGGACAGACGGACATGGCTAGATCGACTCGGCTAATGATCCTGATCAAGAATATATATACTTTATATAGTCGCAGGTGCCTCCTTCACTGCGTTGCAAACTTCAGACTGAAATTATAATACCCTGCAAGGGTATAAAAAAAAGAAAAGGAAACAAACAAGGAAAAAAAATCCTAAATAGGCTTATATTAGCAAGCTTAAATCCTTATTTTTTGAGCGGGTTTTTGTGTGAAGAATTACTTTTGCAAAAATTATATACAAGCATTGCTTGAAATATGTTAACTTTCTGTTATTTAAAAGCATACCAATTCTTAAAAATTTGCTTTACAAACATAGATCAACTTATTTTAATATATATTTTATATTGAGCAGTTTCGATCATCACCATTGTTGTGTTCTTTGTTTATTAAGTTGTGCTGAATAAACTATTTTCGAGAGTTAAATATACTTTACTATAAACAAATAAATGACACCATATCCCAGCTCGTCATGATCATCACGGCTCTTAAAGAGAGCTTGGAAGACTTTTCGAGATCAATAATAAGCTAGTCAACACGGCCAAGGGTATGGTAATTAAACAATAATTTAATATAAACCATATTTTCATGGATCTTGAATTTTTGGGCCTTGTTTTGGTTTCAATTACCTTAATTAAGAAAACTATAATTTTTATGATTGCCACATCCACTTTATCAAAGTCAATCAACTACCAAGCACTAGATTAGTAATTTATATAAAAAACAAACAAAAGAAGAAGAAAACTAAACTTCCTCTAGCTAGGGCCTTGCTTAAGTATAAGACTTGAGAATCGCAGAGGAGAGCGCTCTATGTACCAAATAGTTAAACAAAGCCTATATTTCAGACGAAAGCTTGAAACTTAGTGAAGGAGTCATTTCCGATCCTATTATTCATATATATTCTTGATCAGCATCAAAAGCCGACTCGATCTAGCCATGGTTGCCACATCCACTTGATCAAAGTCTATCAGCCACCAAGCACTTAATTAGTAATTTATATAAAAGAAGAAGAAGAAAACGAAACTTCCTCTAGCTAGAGCCTTGCTTAAGTGTAAGACTTGAGAATCGCAGAGGAGAGCGCTCTATGTACCAAATAATTAAGCAAAGCCTATCTTTCAGTCGAAAGCTTGAAACTTAGTGAAGGAGTCATTTCCGATCCTATTATTCATATATATTCTTAATCAGCATCATCAGCCGAATCGATCTAGCCAGGTCCGGCATAAATTTAATTTTTTCAATATATAATATATTTGGCACCTAAATGATACAGTCGTCCGATTTTCATGAAATTTTACACAAAATTTAAGACTAATATAAAATGGCTACACCTCAAACTTGATGATGATCTGTTTAAAACTGAAATAGTTGTAATTTTTAATTTTATTAATTTCTCGATCGTTCCTTTCGTTCGTTTTACACAGAATTGTAGAGTATAATAATATGGCTATATCTCAAATTTGATAAAAATCTGTTGTAAACTGAAAATGTTATAATTTTTTTTGTAAAAAATCATCCGATCATTCCTATGACAGCTATATGATATAGTCGTCCGATCTGGCCCGTTCCGACATATATATGAGTGAGAGTATATAGAAGGCTAACTACAAAGTTTCATTAAGATAGTTTTAAAACTGAGAGACTAGTTTGCGTAGAAACGGTCAGACGGACAGAAGGACGGAAGGACAGAAGGACAGAAGGACAGAAGGACAGAAGGACAGACGGACAGACGGACAGACGGACATGGCTAGATCGACTCGGCTGTTGATCCTGATCAAGAATATATATACTTTATATGGTCGGAGGTGCCTCCTTCACTGCGTTGCAAACTTCTGACTGAAATTATAATATCCTGCAAGGGTATAAAAAGCATATGCAATCTTAGCTGGATTTTATTTGATTGCTTTGATGGGTTTTTTTAATGTCATTCTAAATATATTTTTTTATATTTTAAATCTTCAATTATATATATTTAATAGTTTTAGCGCAGTTATCCATGCAAAATTAAGTTTTATCGTTGTCATCTATTCGCAAAACGCCATTAAAAGTTTTACTAATAGCTACATTTATACAAATTGCAAAGGTATTACAATTTTAGTCATCATATATATTGCTGATCACCATCAACAGATGAGTCGATCTAGAAAAATACATTTATGAATTTATAAAGGGTTACACCATTAAAATTTTTAAAATTAAGTTTGTTTTTTAAGTTTAAGATTTGTCAAAAACAAAAAATTAAAACGAAAAATATAATATTTTAAGCTTAGTTATAATCGATTTACTATTCGATCGTATAATACAATCGCAATCGCAGGCTATATAAACCCATTTATCAGCTTATAAAATGTTTTCACATTTGAGTACCTAGTATAATTTATTTAAATTATGATAATTACGCTGCATTTTAAACCACATTATTCCCTTTATATTTATTCTTCGTTCCGCTTTTGATAGATCAACACGTATTAGTTCTCACTTTAATACTGATCAATAAAATGAGAAACAGAACCTTTACTTTTGCCCAGTTCATTGTTATTTTATATTTAGTGAGCGAGGTGAGTTTAATGATATTAATATATACTTTGCCAATCTAAGTCTTTGCAGATATCCTCTAAGTTTGAGTTTACGAACCTCAAATGCTCTACTTTCGATGAGCAATTCAGTGACTTTGAATATTGCTATATAAAATCTGTCAATCGGAGCTACAAGTACATTTCAGTAAAATGTAAATTGTACCAGATTCCCGTTACCAAAGTAAAAGTAAGATCAAACTTATAATTTTATGCTTGCCTTTACTTTAATTTTGAAATATTTTAGATAAATCTTATATTATTTAAACGTTTCAATGGCTACAGACCCTTTATGTACAATATCACAGCAGATGCCTGCAGATTCCTCAGAGGTTTGAATTTGAATCCTGCTTTAAAATATTTTTATCGCTTTGTTGAACTCTATTCGAACATGAATCATACGTGTCCTTTTGATGTAGGTTTTCTTTGTATTTTTTTTATAGATTGTATATATGTTTATAACTAATTTCTCACGCATTCTTAGCATGATGTTCAATTTGAAAAGATTCCGGCAGATTTTGTAAATGACTATATGACGAGAGTGCTGCCATTTCCTCATGGCGATTATATGTTAGAAGTTAGCTGGATTGCCTATGACATCAAACGAGCAACAACTCAATTCTATGGAACAATTTCTTAAATTCTATATATCAAATATAAAATATTTAAAAGCTTTGCAATGTTCATTCATTCAACTAATGTTTATAAAGCTATTAAATTATCATTAAAATGAGTGTTGTTTATCAAGCGGAAAAACGTTCTCAATTATTTGAATATAATTGAGAACTTTTTTTCCGCATGTTAAACTTTGAATAAATTTGTAATATTATATAGATCAATCTTAATTGCTAAATAAAGCTAAAATTTTATTTTTTATCTTTTTTTTATATGAATTTTGTGACGTCTTTAGCCGACTGTCACAAAAAATTCTTGGTTTTCCAGCTTTCCCTAAGCTAGGTAATCAAAATCCTCTCAATTACAGCTAAAATTGTTTTTAGAGTTTTTGTTTTATTTCTTGTTATCCGCCTTTTGCCTGGACTTAATTACAAGTTCGGTCGAGCTTATTAAGCGATTAAAAACGCAACCGGAGGCCAAATGGACATCGGCTTGGGAGATTCTCGGCGGCTGTTATCTGGCATTTGGTATCGTCGGCGTTCTGACCCCTCAAGCCCCCCCCCCCCCTGCTACTCCTCCACTCAGCATCCTATATGTAAGTATATATAAATATATATATGTATATAGAAATTCCCGCCTTCGAATCACAAGTATCTGCGAGGGTATATGCAACTCTCACGCTTGACAGCACGCTAATCAGAATCAAGTGATGTTCGTTTGCAGCATTCAGTTGCGAGATGTGAGAGGTGCAGCACCCTGCACCCTGTACTACACAGGGAGAAAATATAGGTTTCTTAATAATAATGTGTTTAGATTCAGAAGGGATATATTAGTGATGTATAGGAAGAGATTTAAAAAGTTTATAAGCTCTAAGTTGATTTCTTTTGGTATTTAGTTTTCAAACTGAAGATTAATGAACTGAATTTTTGTAATTTCGTGTAAATAAATCAATGAATATTGAATAATAAATTTACTTTTAATAGTAATATAATAAATAATAATATTTTTTAAGTATTTTTTAGTACAAAAATACAGGAAACTAACTTGGGAAAAAGTTTCACTTTGCAATTGATATATAGGATCGTATAAAAAATGTATCATTATTTATTAATTTATTCTTTTAATAGATACTTAAAAAAATTTGCAGTAAAATATTAAACATAACTAAACCAAAAATGCATTAATTTTTATTTGGTAAGCTTTTCTGTACAAGTTTTTATTGGGTTTACAAATCTGCATATTCAGTTTTTAAAATTAAAAATTTTATTTTTTTGTCATATATTGACGTTGATTTAACGATGTAACCTCTTAAAAAAGTTCAAAAAATTTTAAAAATTTATTTGTCTGACGAAGATGTCTTAATCGACTCGTCTGTTTATGCTGATAAAGAATATATATGATTTATAGGATCGAAAATGACTCCTCCACATCGTTACAAGTTTCTGACTGAAACTATAATACCCTTGCAAGGGTATAGAAGATTCAAACAGAAAATACATAAAACTCTGGGTGAGTATACTATCTTGTACTAATAAAAATAAATCCATAATATTACAATAAATCCAATTCTTTTTGACCAGTGCACTCACCCCAAAAAACCCCTCAGATACATACAACAGATCCCCCTCGGGACACTTGGCAACTCAAGCACGTCTTCATTATTTGCTGCTGTTGTTGCACTCGGAGATGCGCAAATCTCATTAAGTGATATCTTCAAGTGGCCGTTAGCTCATGAGCAAATATGAGAAATGAGCGGCGACTGTGGAGAATTTTGAATTTGTGGCTTTCCATTTTCGCATATGCCAGGCGAAACAAGATGCACACTTTGGCCGGGCTTTTGTTGTGCATCTTTTTATCGGCAATGGGCCATTTGCCGCTTTTGTTATTAAATTGGATTCGAGATGGACCGAAGGGGGGGCAGAAGGTGGGGGTGGAAGGGGAATCCCAAATATTTACAGCTTTAACACGATGCTGTAAACAACGCTCGAAAATTTCCATTTCCATATCCATGCCCATTTTCATTTCCAATTTGTAAGCGCATGTCAAGTTGAGGACAAATGCGGCTAATTAGCAGCGCTGAGACGTCTCAGCGATTTTCACAAGTTCACAAATATGAAATGTATCTAACAGATACACCGCGTGTAAACAAATTTCAGCCGCCGTACGTATATATTTTTCATGGCTCTTTTTCGTTTTTTAACATATATATTTTATGTTGTTTACTTAGGCAGTGCCCACATTTTCCCACGCACTCGCAGCCGTTTTTACGACACTTTTGTCAAACAAATTCAAACAAAGTTGCTGCCTTGCTGAAATGCATCCAACGGATGCAGTTGCTCGTTTTATGTTTGCTCTCAGCGGTCGGCCGGCCTTTCTTCTATTGTGTTCCTTATTTGTTGTACTTTTTATTTTTTATTTTGTGCCCTTGTAGTTCGTCCGAAAAGGTGGTCAAACATTGGGGCACACTGATAAGGTGATAAGGTGGCAGTTTTCCGAGAGCCATGCCCATCGTTTAACCACCGAGGCGAAGGTGCTGCTACCGTGAGAGTTGCATCTGAGTTTGCTCAGCTTTTGTGGCAGTTGTTTACCAAAAGCACTGGGGAAAAGGTCTACAAATTGGTAACAAATTGGATTAGATTTTAAGATACTTTGAGGCATAGAATTATACCAATGAGAGGGGTTTAAGCAAAATAGATATTATATAAATTTAAATACAATAATCTCAAATAAATTTAAAACCTTTCCAAAGTATCTCAAACTTTTTGCTCAGTGCCATAGCGGAACTTTGTGTGGTTCCGGTAACAAGATAAACATCTCGATATTGCCCACTCAAGATAGGTCAGGGATCAATGGGTATGGAACAACTTAGACGGGATCTTATGGGGAAACTTATCAGAGTGCCAGTAAAGTATCCGCACATGGCGACCTCTTGAGACTCAAAGCAGACCGTTTCCCTTTCGATTTAAGCCGACTTTTGGCCCCATTCTGGGCCAAGTAGACGTCGACGCCACTGCCACTTCATCCGGATACCATTCTCTGTTATCATTTCATTTGGCGAACTGCTCCTCCTCCATGTTCTCCACTCTCGTTTTCATTTTCATTTTCTTGTTTTTTTCAATTTCCAAGTCAATTTATTTTTACAGCGGCTGTGCCGCACTTGAGCCAAGTGACAGAGACCCGAAAAGGACACGTAGTATTCCCAGCGCCAGTGACCAGTTTGGAAAAAGCACCAGGATAGGCGTGAATCGAGAGGCGGATAGCGGAGGCTGGAAAATGGGGGCGTGGTATACCGAGCACGCAATGAAGAGCGACAGTTTAAGTGGCGTGAAGCAAGAGCCCTGCAGAATAATGCTTCTCTATCTCCCTATACTTTTTTTATTGTGGGTTGCAACTACAATCAATGCTGTAGATTGTCAGTTGTGGAATATGTCCCTGACATTTGATGATTGTCATGTGGTGGCCCTGGTATCAGGCTCCAGGAAAAAGGACACTCCACAACCCTAGACTGGTTATTTATTAGGTTTTGGGAAACTTAAAATAATTTGTATTATTATTATCATGTTTTATTATGTTTGACAAATTAAAGGAATCTAGCTGGAATAAAATTGTAGGGAAAAGGACACTCAACCACCCAAAATAGGTTGTTTTTTATGATATAAAATATATATATAAATATATATATATATAAATATAAATTAAATGAATTTTAATCGTATTCCATTTAGTTTGACAATTTCTACTATTAAAAAGATAAAATCACTCAAAACAAGAATGCAATTAGCAACTTGGCAGATTTCGAATTATTATTTATACTTCTGAATCACTTAAAACCTTTCCACCTTTTTAAATCCATTCTAAACTGGTTTGGATATTCTCAAATGACTCATTTGCAATCACTACCATTATAAAAGTTGTCTGAATATTTATACAACAAACTTCCGTGATTCACCCGAAATGCAAAGCAAGTCAATATTGAATAACATTTATTACTTCCCTTGGAGAAAAGTATTTGCTTGCATTCTGGTGTAAAAGTTTTGTACAAAAACGCGCATTTTGGAAAATCTAAAAAAAAAAAAAACACGCTCTGCCACACCTATTTTCCCGCTGGCGCTTTTCCGAACCAACCCATCGAGCATTTCTGAACGGGTTTCCGTTGGTCGCCGCTTTACCAAGAATAATCGCGTGGGTGTTCCTGCCCATGGAAATTGTGGCCACAGGACACCAAGCACAGATACACACACTCATACACATACATTGGGATGCGGAAGGAAAATGGAATGTGGAAACGAAGCTGCTGGGCTGAGCTATTGAACCCTTTTGAAAAGCATATCGAACGGATTTGTGCTGAAATGTACTTGGGGTAAAAGCTTATGGCCGGATCGAATGTGCCTTCAATTTTATGCGCAAATGTTGTTTAATATCTTGGCAAAATACTTCAAGCTCAGCTGAAAGTGAAAGGTTACTAAAAGTTGAAATGACCTGGAAAAATGTAACCTATTAACTGTTAATATGAAAGAAATGTTAAGTTAAAGAAATAAAGCCTAGGAAAAATTAAAGAAAAATCTCACCCATTTACTCTTTAACCTTTTCTTAAATAGAACCCTATTTTAAGTTTAAATCTTATTCACATTTATATATTATACCTTCAACTAATACCTTCCATACCCTGTAAAAATTCAAAAACCTCTTCCGGAGGCATCCGTACAAATGCAGAAATATCAAAAAGTGACAGGCTTTTGAGCTCATCAAATCGATGTTCCACTTCATTTCCGCTTCCATTGGGAAAAGAAGCCCCTAACCTTCCTGGGATTAAATTGAAGAAGAATCCTGTAAGCCTCACTGGCTTTGGATCACAACGTTCCGCCGAATTGGCTTAGCCACCTTTATTTGGCTGGCAACTTTTTCGGCCATTGTCGCACCATTTTTAGCCTGTTCATAAATATGCCTATCGATGAGGACTACAAAATAGGTGACAAAATTATGATGAGCAAGGATGATTCCAATTTGGAATAGTAGAAAATATTAAATACATCAATATAGCAAAAGTTTCAATACTTTTAGTTAAATACTTTCTACTGCTTATGGGTTATAATGATGAGTTTTTATTGAAGAAAAAATTATATTTTGCTACATTAAAATCTTTGTTGTTGGTAATAAAATTAGTATCTAGTATTAGTATCTAATATATCAGCTTTCTCCTCGATGCACATCTCTAAGCTCTTAAACTGAGGGGAAAAATGCTTTTGTAAATTCTATGCTGCAGCTCAGCGTAAAGTATGCAAAGTGAGAGTCTAGGCTGAAAACTTTTTGGCCAGCATTTGTGGTTATGGCCACCGCAGCGACACCCCAATGGAAGCAGATACAACAACAACAATAGAAACAGCAACATCAGCAACACTGGCAACAACAAAATCAATATTTGCCTTGTAAGCCGCACGTGTATCTGTACTTGCTGTTGCCGCTGCACAAACTTTTACCGTCCAACAGGAGCTGAGGTTGCCGCTCTTGGCGGCAGGAGGCAGTTGGGTGGCAACAAGGGGGAAGGGGGAAGGGGGGAGGGGTGGTGAAGAGAGGGTGTTACCAACATGAGGTGGAGCAACAGCTAGCAACATGTTTGCCGGCCTTGTCGGCTTCAGCAGCAGCCAAAAGGGCAGGACCGATGGTGGAATAAAAGCAGCAATATCAAAGATTTTAAATAACATATCAATTTTATAAATTGTATAACAATTTAATGGGTTTTTATGGGAGTAAACCATTTATTTTATATTTATATTATATTTTTCTTGTGCTAAATGAAAATACCTATAACATATTTTATGTATTTCCAAGACTCTTTTAATGATTTAGTTATATAATAATGAAACTCCCTTAAAACTTTAGGATTCTCCTGAAACTCTATTGTCGATTTGCCCCACTGTTCCCCCATGGTTGATGGGTTTATGCGGTCTGGCCTCCGAGTGGAGGAGGTTCCTCCACACACTGGGAAACGGGGAAGTGTTTGGTTAGGCTGGCCGAGATGACTTGTTGGGGCCATGTAAATTGACTCGTCGCAGTTCCGAAAGAAGAACTAGTTTCGGGATGGATGATATCAGAGTTGGGAACCCGAAACCCCAAAAAGGAGAGGGGCAGAACGAAGCTCCCCCACCTGGTCGATGGGGTGTGTTGATAACAACACGGCGGGACACACCGGACACAAGAGATAAGCAACGGAATATTTATAGCGTTAAAGTCCTACCACCCGAAGTTGTGGCTCCTTCGACTCTCCATATCTAATCAAGTCGAGTAAATAGAACATAAGAAGCCGAAGCTATTACTGGGAAGGGTTCCAACAACGTGCAGCACATGGTATCTGAATTATTTAATAACAAACCCCGCAGCACCAACACCCAAAGCTATATGTACCTCAGACAGCTCAAGTGGGTTCCCAGCATTTTGTAGGGGTTTCTACGTAAGTATTTTAAGGCATAGAATGATTCACGCGAAATTCATTTAAGCAGATCAAACAGTAATATAATTTTTTTGCGGTCTCTCCTCTGCGAAAAAAATGGATAATAAAAAATTAGCATGAGAAAACCACAAAATGTAAGCTGTGGCGACACTTGCTGTGAGCTCTCTTTTTTTCATTTTAAAATGGAATACAAAAATTTAATATAAAAAAGGTTTTTAAAAATATATTTCCTTGTTTAAAATATGTTAAAATAATGATCTTTAAACATAGCAGACTTGCATCATTTATGCAGCTTAAGTTCGCCTTAAAGAAATTTCAAAAAGTCGTTTGCATTATCATTTTATTTTTTAAGGATAAACATTCTTTTAATTTAGTAACTGTAATTATTTAATAAAACATCTGGCAACTGAAGCACCTCCCTTTAAACTTTCTCCACCTTTAAAAAATATATACATCCCATCCCATAAAAAAAACACTGAAACGGAAACGGATACAATTTGGCATCGATTGCTGCTGTCAATCAGCGCAAAGAGTGAAGCAATTAAATATCTCTCTCCCGCACCAATTTATAACATTTTTTCACCATTTGCTAGATTTAATTTGAAATGTGACAACGGTTGGAAAGGTGAGAGCGGGTCAAGAGAGGTGGTGATGGAAAACGTTGTGCATTTAAGCGATTTTAAGTGCAAATAAAGAAGGCTCATAAAGCGCAAAGTAAACAATTTCTAGTGCGGCAGTATGGGGTATAGCAACATAAAGGGGGGATATATGTATATAAAGAGGGGGAGCAATGGTGGCACCCAACCGTGGATAGATAAAGGAAAGGAAATGGCGCCCATATCCTTGTGCAAACACACACGTGCTCTTGACAGCGCTTTCTGCGCATTTTGCAATGAGCAGCGAACAGCAGAAAGGGTTTTTTTTTGCTTTTGCCTTTGGAGGGGAGGAACTTTGCCCAAGGATGTTTGTCCCTGGACAGCTGAGAGACAAACCCCATCCATCCGCCCACGCACTGAGGGGAATTCAAACATCATCAAAAAGTAAAAAATAAAAACATAAAAATCACATGTTGTTCCCTAAAATACCTTATAAATACATTTGAAAAAATTTCCGGAATTTTTGTCTTTAAATATTATGTACTAATTTTTAAGAAATAAATGCAGCTAATAAAAATATATATATATTTATTTTAGATTTCAAAGAAGGCTCTTAGTCTAAAATTATATTGATCAAGTCAATATTAAACTTTAATAAAATAGATTTCTAAGAGCTTAAATTGATCTGAAAAAATTTGGTTTTAATATGGAATTTTCGGGCAACATTAAACAATTAAATTATTATTTATTATAATTTATCAGAATTGTTAAATTATGATCCATTATAATAGTCGCTTCATAGTTACAAACTTTGAATTAAAATAAAACTTAATCAATATATACTTAATATCCTCTGTAAAAAATCTTCAATTAAAACTTATTTACGCGCTCAAAATATATTTGAAATATTATGGTTGTTAAGTACAAATATTCTTCGTTAATATTCCAATATTATTTTTGATTATATATTATTTTTTGTTCAGTGTTATCCCACTGATAAGCGAAATCAGCAAAACAGAACAAAAGCGCGACGAGGAGGCGGCGCAGAGACAACTTTCAGACTGAGATAAGGACCGGGATCCCGTCTCGAAGACCAAAGACCGGAGGTGGAAGTCCCGACATTTGCTAATTGCCGGTCAAATATAGAAGAGCGGCGATACCAAGGATCCGGAGAATCTGAGGGATCAGAGGGATCAGGCCGTCTTTCTCACGACTCCAGACCGAGCGAATGGAGCCCCCAATGCGACTGTCAAGTGTCAACGCGGCTCCCGCGGTTCGCTTGGTTGAAGATCGACCCTCTCCGACCACAGGTCTCCTCCAACTCCCCCACCTTGTTAGCAGTTAGCATCTTTACGCTAAAAACATATTTATTCGCTTTTTATGCCTGAATTGATTTGTCGTCGTCGTCTTCATTTCGAGCATTTTGTTCCTCTGCGCCACACATTTATTGAGGCCTGTATATTTTGTTGTATATCTTTGTATCTTTGTATCTTTGCATCTGGCGTCTTGTTATTGCCATTTCCTATTATTCCCTGCCTTTGGCCAATTTGTTGCTCCCAACGCACAAAGCCACACAGCCAGTGGTTTGTGTGCTGTCTAATATGTGTGAATGTGTAAATTCATTTATATTTACATATGCCGACAGATTCCCAATCGTTTCGTTCGTACCACGACCATCAGTCCCCCTTTCTCTACTTTTTCTACACTCTTTTTTCCCCATTGCGGTTCGCCGAGTTTGTTTATCCAGTTAAATAAAAGAAGAAAAGCTACGTATATATGCATATATATATATGCCTGGAAATTGTGTTAATCAGCAAACTCATCGAAGACGGAGACGAGCAGGTTTAGTCATTCATAAGGTTCTACTCTGGGTTATGGTTCCATTGAGGTCTCAATTTTGGGCTACTGGGAATACCAAATATCCTTGGCAAAACGTTTAATTATGTAGATTAAGTTACCAGGATATTTGTATTTATGATTTTGCAAATTAAAGAAATGACTTATTAGAAGATTTGCATATGGTTTCTTCAGTGAATAAATATAAAGTTATAAATAAATATAACTAATATTAAAAGTACAAGAAATAGGTATATTTTCATATTTATTAATCCTTCTTGTCAAACTCACTTGGCTGAAGCCTGAACTAGATTCCAGTCGTAACCCTCAAGGACCTTCATCACTGCACTGGTAATGCGTTCATCTTCCTTTCGGCCACCCTGACCCTGGGCCTTCTTCTGTTCGGCTTTTAGGGCATAGTTGGCCAACACTAGGGTCTCCACTGGCTTGGCCCGATCCTTGGAACAATTTGTATTCGAACTTCCGCTCATTTTGGCCACTACACTACACGCAAATCTTTGTCTGAATTATGATAGTTCGAGCACTTCACCAGGGGCAGCACGGCTGCCTAAGTCAGAGATCTTCGAGTATTAAGTCGAGCTTATTGGGAGCACTATGGATAAGGTCGAGACGCGACGTGGTTGATGGACGAACTGCGACTGATCTTGGGGGATCGTTACTGCCTCGGGCCGAGCGGCTGTGGACTTGCCCCCAAAGACGAGCTCGGCATTCGTCGGTTCGACCGGGACGGATCGTGGCGATAAGCTAAAGACGGTGGTTGGCTGGCTCGTTAGTCGGGTTTCTATATAGAGATATATAGTATATCGTGTGGAATGGGAACTAAGGAGCTTGGGGCGGGGGAGGAGAGCTGACGATACGCCGCGGGGGCGAACATAAAAATCGCGGTACGCGTGTAAACATTAACATGTTCATGTGAAATTAGGTGGCCCCAGAGCGGAATCGAATATCGGACGACAGTCGCCGACAAACAAGTATGGAAGATTATGTCAAGATAATCGACTAATTGATACCTATTTTTGGGATAAATAAATAATAAATTTCTTCATTCTTCCCTTTTTAAATAATCTTAATTTAAATGAATACTTTTTGGCAAATAAAATATGTTGTCCTTATTATTTTGTTATCATTTTTTAAATTAATTATTTTATTATAAACACAGTTTTTAGTAACTGAATGTCATTACTTTTCTTATCAATAATACACAGTTTCAGCAATATTTTCCTTTTTTTATAAAATTATATACCCCAAGACAAATAAAAATCCAGGGTATCAAAAAGAGAGCTCTATGAGAGATGGACATAAATCGAAATGGAAACAGAAACAGAAATTAGTAACACTTTACAGCCACATGTGGATTTATGACACCTTCCCCCCACCCGACTTTGCTTCTGGCTGACTCTCTCTCGGGATCGTTAGAGACCTGCCACCACTTGTTGCAGCTGTGTTTGGTAAAGGATACTCAACGATCCTCAATGAGACTGCTAATGAGAAGTCGATAAGATCATTAAGGATTTAAGGGTTACAAGCAGTGAATGGGTAGTGACAGTGCAGGCTTTGGGGATGTAAAAATGAGCGATTGGTTCCCAAGGGTGACAACAGAAAACTGGGGATTTGTTTACCTTATAATATTTTATTATGTAAATATCTACAGAAAGAGTTTACTTTCCTATATACAATCTTTAAAGATCCTTAAACCTCTTTTAATTTAATCTAATTTAATCTTAGCTTATTAATAAATTATTTATTTAAAAGTTGTACAAACTATTTTATATAACTTTGCGTAAATAGCAATATATAAAAGGTGATGATTGGTGCTAAAAGAGACAAAATAATTTTGATTCTGGGAGATATTATGATAATATGTGTTTAGATTAAAACAAGTTTATTATACCCTTGCTTGGATATTATAATTTCAGTTAAAAGTTTGAATTGCAATGAAGGAGTCCTTTCCGACCCCAAAAACCATATATATTATTGATCAGCATTAAGAGCTGAGTCGATCTAACCATATCCAATAGAAAAATAAAATTTTGAATTTTTTTGCAAAATTTTATGAGGGGTTACATCGTTAAAATTGTCAAAATTGAACAAAAAAATATAAATTAAAAAAATTATAAACTTAATATGCAGGATTGTTAACCTTAACGAAAATAAGAGCAGAAACGCTTTCCGAATTAAAATTAATGAATTTTTGGCTTTGTTATGATATTTCAAAGGTTAAGTTTACCCAAAAAAATTAACATTATGCATTCAAATTTATTTAAGTGAATATATTCCTACTATAGATTCATAGTATATTTTCTTTTCTTTAAATTCATCAACAACATGACACTTCGAGATCAATATACTTTCATCTTTATAACCAAGAGAAATGTAATTTATACACATATTTAATGATGGAATGTTTAACAAAATCAGCTAGAAGATCAGGTGATCTGGTATGATCTTTCCATAACCACTTTGCACTAGTTTCTTACCCATCGGAACCCAAAACGATACAAAATCGTAAAATCTAGAAGAAAATCCCGAATAAAAAAAGAATTAAATGAAACCAGAAGAAGTAGGCATCGGCGAAGAGCTATTCATTTCACGATCGTAAAATATAGAAGAAGCGTATTTAGTTTTGGTTACGCTTTTGTTTTCCAGCTGGTTTCAACTGGAAGTTATGGTAAGGAAACCAAATCTGTATCTGCATCCATCGCATAACTTTTACCAAGCGAATACTTCTTTTTTCTCTTCATTTTATATCGGTCGCGGGGGGATTTTTACAACTTTATAATTTTTACAACTCAATTAACTTTTTTCAAACGCCGCCGCTCTGGCAACGAAGATCGAACAAATCGAAGTAACAAAAAATTAAACAATAAAACAGAAAAATGCATAAACGGAATCATAAATACCTAGTCCATTTCAGATATTTTTATGCGAATGGGGGAGATGAGGACCGACTCAAAACTGACGTCAAAACAGCGCCCGTTTTTTTGGAAGTGTCATAAAAGGCATCAAAATGAAAATTATATGATACTCCATAAAAAAAAGGAAAATACTGAACTCCACAGCCAGTGTCGCTGCCGTTCAGTGCTGTCAATAATATTTATTTAAAGGGAAACATATCGAAAACAAAAAAATATATAAAATAATGGAATTATTCAAGGAATATTCAATTTAAGGGAAATAATAATAAAGAGTGAATGCAATTGCTCTTCTTTAATACACCGTAAAGTTTATTATTGATAAACATTTTAGCTTAGACTTTTCTTTTTCTAAATAAATCTATAACTAAATTAGTATTATATAAAATTAAATCAAGACTCAACATTAATAAAATATGAAAAATCCTTTAATCTATTTTATTATACCAAAAATATTAATAAATTAAGTAAAATATAGTAATTATAAATAGGAAAAAAAACAAAATATATACAAAATTAAAATTAACAACATAAAAGAGAACTAGAACAGTGTGACCATCCACTTCCGGTTAGAAAAGTTGTTACCATCTCAAAAAGAACTTTTCAATCTGACAGCACTGTTGCCGTCTGTCCCTCTGGACCTTAGTTCGCTGAACTGCAGCAACTGGAAAATTGATTCGCGTCTAGGAAATTTAATGGTCCAGCATCTAACAATTCCCCCGCTACCCTGAACATTTTGTTTTTTTTTTAACCCCCAACCGGCGAACTTCAAAGCGTGGCAACTTGTTGATAAACAAAATGTTCAGAGCGCAAAAAAAAGTGCTAAAAATATTTTGAATTAATTAAAAATATATATACGCTATGCCAGAGGCAAATTAATATTTTCCCTCGACATTTTTTTATGCTGGTTTCATAATCAAACTGGAGCACAGAAAGGTCGAAATGCATCTGAAAGATACGCCCAAAGGGAAAGGAGCCGGGGCTGCGGATGCGACGACCGCTTGACATTTTGCGACTTGGCATGAAATCGCATTATTTGATCTAAGCCGCCGACAAGCTATAGCTTGAATATATATATATGTATATATACATTTGTATGACTGAAAAGTCGGCGCTAAACGAAACCAAATGGCGCATTCGTAGGCAGCTGCCGTTAGAAGAAGCTAAAATTGAGTGGGGGGCGGGGGGCGGGGTGGCTGATGAGGGGGCGTGGCAGGCGGAAGATGGGAAAGATGAGGAAGGAAGCGAAGCCTCTCCAGCCGTGCGACATGTGCTGCGGAAATATTTTGTAAACAATAAAAGCCACGACGATGGGCACTCAGGAAATATGTATGCACAAAAAAATACAAGAAGAGCATTGAGAAAAAAACTTGGTTTTTAAATAATGAAATTAAATAAGCTCAGATATTAATATTAATATTAATATTTATTTAACTTTTTTTATTTTAATTTGTTTTCTTTTATTCCTAAGGTATATCATTTATTTTAAAGATGAAACTTATTTATTTTGTATTTTACATTAATAAAATCTAAAACAAGTTATAATATCTTAATAACTATATACTACGATTAAATTAATATCGCTTTCCATAATATTTTATCCCAAAAAGCATACGTAGATAGACACACACTCTCTCTCACGTTGGCATGGAGCTTTTTTTATTGCTTCTCACCTCTATTACTGCACTTTGCTCTTTTCCCGTTTTAAATCGTGTTCGCTGACCATCGGCCATCGCTTTCCATTCGCCAGCGATCATCAACTGCGCTTGTGTGTGTGCAAGAGAGCGTAAATGTGTGTGTGTGTGTGAGAGAGCGGTCATGCCAGTTTTTGTTTTTGTGTTTTTTTTATCGTCAATTGCTACGTTGAGTGGCTTTGTTTTCTCATATTTTCCAGCCAATGGGAAACAAAAGGCGGGATTTCAAATAGATAATAAAATGTCCAACAATAAATGCGAAAGAAATTTTAATAACACTGAAAATCGGGCTATTAAATTAAGTTATACACTTATGCATATATTTTGTATTACACGTATTTTTATTATATTTTTATATACTCTTTTAAAATCTACTACATCCCATAAAGAACGAACTGATAAACTAGAATTTGTTTAGTTAAATATAATTATAAAAATATATATATATAAGATAAACACATTATTTATACATTTAAATTTTTTAATATTTTATTTTCATGATTTAATGTTTTTGCCTCCAATCTTAACATTCGGTGACTATATTTTTATCATTTGCGCCTTTGAAAGCTCCTAAATCTTTTGTTTCATGTTTTTTATTTCAAGATGTTTCATTACCCTATTATTATGATTTATTTTTTGGATATTTATTTTTAAATATTAGACTTATCCAAGCCCGAGTTCTCTAGTTTACCTTGCACTCCGAAAACGAAACTGAAGACGGAATGCTTATCAATTTTGAGTGATTGCTTATCTACCCCAATTCGAAGCTCGAAATGAAAACACACCTTGACACACTCACACTTGCTCACACTCCCTTTAGTATTTCCCATATGCATATCTACCGTTACCCATTGCTTCTTCGTTTTTTTTTTTATATCAACTTTTCCTCGGTTTCACATTCGGAAAATGCAGGGCTGGTGGAGGAAGAGGGGTACATTCGACGAGAGGGGGGCTAATGGAATTCACACGTGCTTTGCTTTATTGGAAATCGCAGCAATAAAAAATGTAAGCGTTTCTGTTACCAGGTATTTTGTTACATGAAAGTAACTTTGATATCAAAATTGGCATCCGTTAAAAAAAAAACCGGAAAATATGTCACAATGGAAAAAATTCATTTATACTTTTTAAGGAATTATAAGTTTAAATTTTATGCAAACAAAACTAATTGCTTGTTAATTTTAATACAATTTATTTATTTTATTTATTAGAAATTCCAAAGTCAGAATGCATTATAATTTTATCTTTAATACAACTAATTCTATATATAGCTGTAACCTATAACCAGTGTACTCATTGATTACTACCATATTTGATCAAATATTATTATAATATATCTAGATCTCATTCCCTTGCAACCCGCTGTGTTATATTTTTAAATTTAAAATATGCGCGAAACAGGCGCGACTTCAAGAGCCTGGCAACGCCATATGCTCAGGTATATGGAGTTGCCAGACGTCCGTTTAGCACAGTTCCTAACCGTTGTTGAGTAAAGTTTTCCACCTTCTTGGTGATTTTGACAAGGTAATTTTAGGGTATTTGTTTCTTGGGTTTTTTTACTTACGTCGACGCGGTCATACTGAATAGCAAGATGGCGTATAAAGATTTGTAAAATCGTCGAAAAAATCTATGTGAAATTGCCGAGAAAATTGTAAAGAGCTCATCGTCGATGAAAATCGTAAGTGGTCAGCAAATATATGTGCGGAACGGGGCGAAGCGCGAGCAGAAGCGGGGCGACGGTGACCACGCGCAGGAAAACTCTACGTTCACGGATTTCCCAGCAGCAGGCAACTTTTGTGTCTCACTCTCCAGTTTGTGAGTGTGTGCGTGTCCGTGTGCCGTGTCCGTGAGTCCGCTGACCGTGTGTTGGTGTGAAAATGGTGAAGTAGAGGCGCTAGCAACGTGCTCGCAGCAAAAACAACGGGTGTGCAAGCGAGACGACCAGTGTGTATGCGTTCATCTCTTTTGCCAGGGCATAAGTTTTGCTTTTTTCTCCTTCGTCGTTCGCTGAAGTTCCGTTTCGGTTATTTTCTTAACAATTGAAGGCGCCATAATTGTGTTTTGTTTGCCATAACATTGTTATAAAACCTAAAAAGAAAAGTACGCAGAAAACCACAGAAAGTTATAACTAAAGAAATGTTTTATTTGTATTATTGCGTAAAATGCGCTTGCGTGTGGCCCCAAAAGTGAGTGAGTGTCTGCGGGTATGAGTGTGACTTGTGTGGCTGCGTGTGCGTGTGTTCGTGTACAACAAAAACAAGTCGTGGGACTAAAACAAAGAAAATTCAGAAAATTCTGCTGCCGTTCTTGTGGAATAATCAAATCCAATTAAATGCAAAAATTCGATTTCGATTTCAGTCGAATTAGAAAAAGCAGCAGCAGCAGGCAAGGGTGAAGAGGCAGCGACGCCAGCAGAGCAGCAGCGGCAGCAGCAGTGGTAAAGGAAGTGGAAAGAGAGGAGTTCCTCAAAAAGAAAACAAGGTAAGCTTCAAATTTGTCCCACTGTTTTCCTTTTTACACTCCCCTTATCAGACCCCGTTACTCGCTGAGTGCAGTGCTAGTGCCGTTAGTTTTCGGAGGCCATTGACGTCGATAAATTAATTGCAAATATAGAATTGTTTATTTATCCGATTTCCGCTTTAATTTTGGCATTTTGCTATTTTATGCTGTTTGTTTGCCATTTTTATGGCGCCTGATGAAACAACTGTTTCATGTTCTCCACCTCTCCGTCCCTCCGTTGTTCCGCTCTTCGCCTCTTCTTTGTTCTTTGTGTGTTTGTGTGGTTTTTTTTCCTTGCGGAAGCTTTTCGGCTGCCGCCAACGCAACGTGCAGCTGTTTTGCAATTGTAATCGGTTAATATGTTTAAGTAATTTGATCAGTACATCTGGGAAATACCCTACGTAAATTGTTATGCCTAATTGGAAAGTCATAAATAGCTCGCTTCGAATTGCGTTTGTCTCGTTTGTACACCGAAATAGGAAAAGTAGAACAGGGTAGCCACAAAAACAACGGTAGATTTTGGTTACAGTTGTCCCTTATTATAGTGAAATATTTTGGTATTATTTATTAATACTAAGTTATTAATGTATTATTTTATTTTATATACTTTTTCATGTATTAATTGTAACTATGTTATTTATTATATTTTTTTTATTTATTATTATTTATTTATTTATTTAGTGTTTTATATATGTGTAGTAAATTCTCATAAATTAAAATTTAATATTCATTACAAATTATTTAGAGACAAATATATATTTTTAATACACATTTTGTAAATGTTAATATAAACGAAACTATTTACTATTCATTCAATCGAGCATTCACTGTTCACAGCGTTCACAGTAAATCAAAGTCAACGCCAGAACAACAAAGTACAGACAAGTTTTGAGGTTAGAACAAGAGGGAGGGAGGAGAGCGCGTGAGCGATCGATGCGTGAGCGGTAAAAGAAAGCGGAGAGAAGTAGTGAGCAATAGAGAGAGAGCTAGATATAGAAAGAGCGCGACGAGGAGAGAGCCAAAAACAACAATTAAACTTAATTTTGTCATTTATACCCGGCAAGTGAAAACTTTCAGCTTGTTGCTTCTTTTCCCCCGCCACCGTTTATTTTTGTGTCGCTTCACCTATGGCTTCTGCTGCTATTCGTTTTATCCCGTGGTTGTTTGTGCTTTTCCCCACAGAAAGTGTCATTTAAGTGACGTTTTTACAGTCCTACGTTTTATTTAGTTTTTCACTCTTCTTTGTCGGCAATTGTTTACTCTACGCACACATATGTATTTCTTTTATCTATTTGTTGTTAATCATTTTCCTAGTTTTTTTTTTTTTGTTGTTGTTTTGGTCTTTGCATTTCTTGGGCTGATTCATTTCGCCGATTGTTGTTTTTGTGTCGTCACGTTGACATTTTAGATTTCTAGAAAAATTACACTCGAAAGCAAGATAATAGAATGTATTATTTTAATGAATTAATTCTTGAATATTCTTTATTATATTTCGCTTCGAAATATATACTGTTACTTAATAGTAAAATAATACATAACAATAATGTTAACAACGACAACTTATTTTCTTTGTTTTCAGTGTTTCTTTTACTCAGCATCACTTGTTTTTCCCATTCGTAATCAATAAAACCCACACAAAAACAAACAAACAAAAATAGCCCAGTTCAACTTTTATATTTGCGCGAGGTTCGGGTTCTTATCTTTTTCGCTTATTTATGATTTTTTTAATTTAATTTGTGTCTGCATTTCCTTTTACCTAGAAGCCTTTGTAAATATTTATATATCGGAAATTCACGGAAATCCTTATCAGTTCAAAACAACAAACAAATATAAAATAAGCACGATTTCCGAAAGTGTTAGCGCTGCGTTTTTTGGAGACAACATAAACTGAGATCTTACGCTCTGAGCTTCTGATCACGTACGCCACAAAGTAGAGAAAAAAAAGAGAATTTGAGAAAAATCGTTCACATAACACTGTACTACAAAAACTTTTAATAAAAACATATTTTATTTCAGAAAATCATAACAAACAACCGGAAGCGACTGCCTTAAGAAAAATCGGAGAAAGAAGAGTTTTGACAAAAGGACAGCGCCAGGTAAGAAAATCGCAGTATGAGCGAAAATGAGAGGAAATTCGAGAGAACCAAATCTGCTAAGCAGATATAAAATAGCTATTACTTGTATAACGTTAAAGGCGCCTAACAATTTCAATTTTATGCATTTAAAAATAAGTTTTCCAGAACAGTATAACAAATTTATTGTTTTAAATTTTAAATATTAAATACCAAAGTAACAAATTTTTTAAATAAAACTGAATCGCGTTTTATTTTTATAGATCATCACTCGTTGAAAAGATTGAACTTAATGAAAGGTTTTCAAACTAAACTCTTTTTAGCCTAGTGTCACTCAAAAATTTATGTAATAATCATAGTTCCTCCTTGTTCTTGTGACATTAAGCATTTTTGGTAACTGTGAGTAGTGACTGTGACTAATACAAATATTTCCCTTTTCCTTTAGCGGAAGGCAACGCACGTCGTCGCCAAAAAAAAGGAACTCACCACTTCCGAGGTAATCTCACTCTGCACACAACACACAGACAGACATCCGCAATGGAGCTGCGCGTGGGTAACAAATACCGGCTGGGTCGCAAGATCGGTTCAGGATCCTTCGGCGACATTTACCTGGGCACTACGATCAACACTGGCGAGGAGGTCGCCATTAAGCTGGAGTGCATTCGCACCAAGCATCCCCAGCTGCACATCGAGTCCAAGTTCTACAAGACGATGCAGGGCGGCATCGGAATACCGCGCATCATCTGGTGCGGCAGCGAGGGCGACTACAACGTGATGGTGATGGAGCTGCTGGGACCCTCGCTGGAGGACCTATTCAACTTCTGTTCACGCCGCTTCTCGCTGAAGACGGTGCTGCTGCTGGCGGACCAGATGATCTCCCGCATCGACTACATTCACTCGAGGGATTTCATACACCGCGACATAAAGCCAGATAACTTTCTTATGGGCCTTGGTAAAAAGGGCAACCTGGTGTACATTATTGACTTTGGCCTGGCCAAGAAGTTCCGGGATGCACGTTCGCTGAAGCATATCCCGTATCGGGAAAACAAGAACCTCACGGGCACAGCCCGCTACGCCTCGATCAACACACATCTCGGGATCGAACAGTCACGCCGCGACGATCTGGAGTCCCTTGGCTACGTCCTCATGTACTTCAATTTGGGCGCGTTGCCATGGCAGGGCTTGAAAGCGGCCAACAAGCGACAGAAGTATGAGAGGATCTCGGAGAAGAAGCTGTCCACCTCTATCGTGGTGCTTTGCAAGGGCTTCCCCAGCGAGTTTGTCAACTATCTGAACTTCTGCCGCCAGATGCATTTTGACCAACGGCCCGATTACTGCCATCTGCGCAAGCTCTTCCGAAATCTGTTCCACCGCCTGGGCTTCACCTATGACTATGTGTTCGACTGGAACCTACTGAAGTTCGGCGGTCCCCGCAATCCGCAGGCCATCCAGCAGGCGCAGGACGGTACGGATGGCCAGACGGGACACGATGCGGTTGCCGCAGCAGCTGCTGTGGCAGCGGCAGCCGCCGCCTCATCGCACCAACAGCAGCAGCACAAGGTCAACGCTGCGCTGGGTGGCGGCGGTGGTGGAGGAGGCAGTGCAGCGCAGCAGCAACTCCAAGGAGGCCAAACACTGGCCATGCTGGGTGGAAATGGAGGAGGCAACGGAAGCCAGTTAATTGGCGGCAACGGACTCAACATGGACGACTCGATGGCGGCCACGAATTCATCGAGACCGCCATATGATACGCCGGAGCGGCGACCATCGATACGGATGCGCCAGGGAGGCGGTGGTGGCGGCGGCGGCGGTGGCGTCGGCGTGGGTGGCATGCAAGGAGGCGGGGGCGTGGGGAACGCCAAATAATATTTTATCGTTTAAAATGCAACGCTGGACATGAAACAGTAGACAGACGGAACTCAGCAGCAGCAGCAACACTATACATGTAGAATATATAGTTATATATACCTAATATATATATATATACGATACTTGCTTTATATATGCGGTAAACACATGTTGAATGTATCCAAAACGGCAGGAGGACCAGGTCCCTGCCGAGATTTGAAATGAGAAGAGGTTAAACGAAGGATAAAAGCAGTGTAAAACAAGAGAGAGGAGCAGAGGCAGTGCAGAGCAAAGCGCAGCGCTTTCCTTCTTATCTGTTCTTTCCTTATTTTTTTTTTGTACATTTTCGTTTTGTTTATTGACATTTTTGGTTTCTGCTCCAAGGTGTTCTGAAAAGAGAGAGACGGGGCGCGCTTATTATTATTAATTAACTAGCCTATGATTAATTTAATTTATAAACGTAGACCATAAAACGATTGCAACTTGGCTGCAAGAAACTGCAACGACTGCAACATTGTTCATTCTGATTTGAGATCCTTAGGGGCATGAGCAGAGGAGCAGCAGAGATCGGTCTAAGGATTTTAAAGGGATTTGGAAGGATACCAGCCAGGATGATACGCAGGCATTTATTCTGTTTTGCATTTGATAACCGAACTGGCTCTATTTTTTCGTTGTTATTTCAAATCCTTTTTCCCGATCACATAACAATTCGATTATAAGTGTAATATTTGTGTAAAAGAAACAAAGGACATCCACGACAACCGTGTGTGTGGGTGTCCCTAGCCCTAGACTAGGCAGTAGCGTAAGCAAATCCAATCCATTCAGAAACAGCATACATATAAAGAAAAACACACCACACCCCATGTAACCTAAGTTGAATCACGATAATGATTTATAGATAAGCTGAAACACAGTGCAGTAGCAGAGGGTACGTTTCTTTTTAGCTTTAAGCAACGCTCTGATTTCTAAGACCCCCTCCTATGTTATTAAATCTTGATGTAACGCCCAAGAAATCCCCCATTTATATATACATATTATATATATACTTTTGTGGTCTGCGCTTTAGCTAGATGTGTTCATTATATATTTCTCCAACTTTTTAAATACTTGTTTCTCAAGCCCGATTCATTATTGTTTACGCAAAAGAGTAACACAAATCGTGTAATTAAAAGCGTATTAACAGCGCTTAGGAATACACAACACAACTTGCATTAATGTTTCGATTTAAACATACATAAAATAAATACAAAAGAAGGGCTCCTTCAGCATAACGCTAGCTAATAAATTATAGCTATAATATGAAATTTGTCTATAAGTAATACCAAACCATGAAAAAATAAAAAAAAAAAAACAAAAAAAAAGAACAAAACATAAATTCTAAAAGCGACAAGATGAAAATGGGTAAAAATTAAATACAAAATATATAAATTAATATATTAACTATATCTTATGAGAGAACACGTAAACAATTATGTAAAACCCCGCAGTCTAGGAACTAACAACAAAATCGGATCACTGAACGCAGCAAAAGCCACTAAAAAAAACTTAAATAAAATGCATTACGTGATATTTCTTACGAATTGTTTTATGTTTTCTTGGTTTTTGTTACCATTTAATTTCTATATATTTAATCCAAGCGCACGCCTTGCAACTCGACCAACTTTGTAAACACAACTACATATATACAGCCAGAGATCGGGGGTTTTCCAGATAGATTGCCCCACTCCACCACAACTGTCAGACCCGGAAGATTAATAATAATAATTAAGGAACGATTGGATAATCTAGCGACTGTACATACGAAATATCCGAATTAACCTAACCCTAAATGAAGTAAACAAATTAAATATATGTGTGATTTTCCTCCTAGCATACAAAGTACTAAACAATTAGCATTTTATCGAGAGAAAGAAATATCGAAAAATCGATAACCGATTCATAATAATTATGAGCCACTAAAATGGAAAACTAGACGATCGATCGTGTGTATGAAAAGTCCATTCAGCATAAGCGAAAACTAGAGAAACTAACAAATTCGAAAGTTTTGTATAATTAACTGTATATGTATATTGAAAATAGAATTTTGAACTATAAATAACTAATGATTATTGAACTTGAATCGAGATCGAGTCGAATGTGGAATATCAAGTATATCATGGGCGATGATATGAAAACAAAATATTAACAAACCACCAACAGTGATATGGAATAAACAAAAAAATAAAAATAAAGAAAACAAATAACAAAGATAGAAACAAAAGAAAACAAAGCTACACATGATAATAAATCAAGAAGAGAGTTCATGAAATTTGAAAAGTACGTTAGATCCGGAAATCGACAGATGTATATCGATAAGTGCACGCCACATTTATGTAATTAGCAAGTATTTCGAATTAAAAACAAACCGAACATGAATATGTATGTGTGAACAGAATAAAAGCAGCCACTAAATAAGCCACACCACTCACAATAACAATTACGAACGAGGCATTAAAAAGCTTAAACAATAATATAACACATTTCATCGAAACTAATTTTTTGGGAAACCTTTAATCGGGTGGTAAAGTAAGATATGCTATCTAAGCTGAAACTATCGCTTTCAACATTCATATAGGGAACAAGAAAGGAAATTAACTGTGGGAAGCCGAAGTTGGTAATTAAATTATAGGATCGACTCGGAAATGTATCATAATTATGCTTCAAAATTTCGCATTCTTTAAATCAATATCTATCAATATTTTATATAACAATATTTCGACAAATCCAAGTTTAAAAAACTCATAACTCTGCCAAAAAAGGATTAATTTTGTTTAAGAAAGCTTTCATATGTTATATTTTATTAAATTTATAAATCTGCATACTCCATTAAAGTTTAAAAAAAATTAAATTTTTTCCCCATTTTTTACAATTTTAACCATGTAACCCCTTATAAAATTTTGAAAAAATTGGTACAATTTTTTTTCCGCCTGGGATGGCTAGATCGACTTTACTGTTGATACTGATCAAGAATATATATGATTTATAGGGTCGGGAATGACTCCATCATTACGTTTCATGCTTTTAACTACAATTTTAATACCCTGGACAGAAATAATATAGAAGTGTTTAATGTATTAACAATTTTAAAATCGAAAAATTTTATATTTAACATAAAGATATCAATATTACCTCGAAATATCAAATTTCTACAATTTTTGTTTTATATGTCAAAAAGAATATTGACTTAACTATCGGCATATCAATATATTTTTATTTATATTCTACCTGGCTCAGGCTTTAACAAAGCAAGCGTCAACGTAGAAATAGATTTTTTGTTGTAACGATCTTAAGTTTGATTAATTTTTCAAGAAATAATTCAAAATAAACACATTTTTTAATTATTTTATGTATTTGAAATGTATGTTTATTTTTTTCAAATATAGTTCAAAATAGCTCAAAATGAATATATTTGCCGAGTATTTTATTTATTTGATTGATATGTTTATTCTTTTAATAATTAATAACTAATTTAATAGAGATAAGTATATATTGAAGTCAATAGATTGTATATAAAAATATGTCAAACTTTGGCTACTGAAATTTGTATAATTATAGATAAGTATTACATTATTAATTTAGGAGAGTTTGGTAGGTGTAATTGCAATTGTTTTATTTACAAAGTAATGATGCTATAAGTTATATTTATTACAAAAGAAATATGTATTCAATCATTTATCCGTATATGGAATACCCTTATTATAATTAATAATCGTTCCATAAAATTTGCGATATGGCAAGGTATTTTTTTAACTCTGGCAGCGCTTTCCGAATCAGCTGACTGCGTTGTTCTGTGGTATTTTTTCGCTTTTTCTTTAAGGTCACTCTAAGCACGTCTTATTGGTTTTTTATCGTAATATTTTGCCGAAAAGGTTTATAAAAAAGCTAAATAAATCAACAATAAGTGTTGGATGAGTCTGCCGAGAGTCGAAACACAATAATCAAGCCACAACATTGCAGATTTGCTAGCAGGAACTAAGAGGAAAAGCCAGAAGCCAGAATATGGGCGCCCGACAGTCTCAATCCCGCGAGCCCCGATCCGTTTCGATGGAGAATCCAACTCCTGCCGGCGTCATAGATATATCCGATGATGTAGTCAAGCGCCTGAAGGCGGGCATCTCCCAGCAGGGTAAAGTATTCCAGTAATAAGTGCCAGAAATCTGAGGAATATGGCCCGGAAGTTGGCTGTGCCTTGTGTTATGCAACAATTGTCAAAATGGGCTATTGTTTATGCCAGCAAAAGGCCAACTTCGCTACTCAAGACTTTTTGCGGAAGTACTTCCTAAAACTAACTTCTAAAACACCATTTCAGCACGTGAGCACGCCGTCGCTGCGGAGGATTCCAAGCCATCGCCTAAGGCGACACCGAAGGCAGCTGCCAAGCCTGTCACTGCCACGCCTGCCGCTCCAGCGCCCGTTCCCAAGGTATCCTATCCCACGGCCACGCCCATTTATGTACAGGGCGGCGGACACACCATCAGTGCGGCGGATGTGCAGCGCCAGATGAACCAGGAGTTGGTCAAGAACGACGAGCTGTGGAAGGATCGCATGACGAAGCTCGAGGAGAACCTTAAGAAGACGAACACCATCCTGGAGAAGGAGTACGCCAATGCAGTGGAGAATGTGCACAAGCGATTCGTAAACACGGCGGCGGCCCATAAGGTACCTCCCTGCCAGGATCTCAAATCCCAGCTGCTCGCCTGCTACCGTGCGCATCCCGGCGAGACGCTTAAGTGCATGGAGGAGGTGGCCCAGTTCAGGCAGTGCATTGACCAGCATCGCGTCCAAAAGCTAGATGCAGAGCCCGAGGCACCGAAGGCGGCCACAAAAGCCGCAGTTCCCGTCGCCAAGGCGGGCTAAGAGACTCTTCTATTCGTTGTCCTGAGTTGTAGATCTGTTCTTGGAGGCCTTCTACGGGTTTTTGTATAAATGATTGATGGAGCGAACACACGGCGCGATATCATAAGCGAGGAAAGTGTCATTGCGAGCGTTAGTAAACTAATTTAAATGAATCAATCAAACAATGTTTTTATGGTGGATTGAATTCCGATTTAAATTTCTTATGTTGGCAGTGGCTTAGCTTTATCTTCGAGTAAAACAACAGCAAATAATTTTTAGTATGTCTATTTGGTAAATATCAACAATCTCTCCCTCATTCACAAACATTTAAAACAACAATCCGTAATACTAATTAAATCAACAGGAATTAAAAGTCAACGCACAGAAGGAACGCCGCAAAAGCACCTATCAAAATGGGCATCGAAGCAGCCACTAAAACGGCGGCATTGCTTTCACCATAAACATCATGATCATTATGATCCTCGCAGGAGTCGTCATAGTTCTTGGCTGGACCAAGGCAGCCGGCATAACTCATCACATAGGCCAGATAGTTCTGCTCGAAGACGCCGCGGACAAGACTGGAACCAGGACCGTAGGCAAATACTGCCACATCTTCACCGCCATGAGTCTCGTCTTTTCGGGGCACTGTGGCCAAGTGTCGATAGGTGGGAGCTGTTCGCTCCTCGGCCGTAAACTGATTCAGAGGCATCCACATGTTGGAGCTATTCTGGGGCCGCGAGTCATTCGCCAAGTGATCCCAGTAGCCGGGTCCATTGGCATACGATATGGTCTCATAAAACATGGGATCGTTTTTCTCATGCGAGTTGGCTGCTCCTAGAATATCTGCGCCTCGGAGAGCATATCCATTGAAGGTAACAGCATGAGAGTGATCGGCCGTCACCAGAATTAAAGTTTCCTTGGGATTCGTGTTATTCACCGCCGTCTGGATGGCCAGGTCGAATTCATAGACCTCGTGGAGGGCTGCACGGGCATAGTTCATGTGGTGACCCTGATCGATGCGACCTCCTTCCACCAGAAGCACATATCCTTCGGAATCGTCGCCTCTATCTAGGACTGCCAGTGCCACCTCGGTCATATCTTGCAGCGACGGCTCTCCCTTCTCTCTGGCTATGGAGTAGGTGATGTGATTGTTCCGGAACAGACCCATCAGATGATCCACCTTCTTGACATTGACCTTCAGCAAATCCCTTCTGTTGTGAACCAAGACAGGAGGCACAGAATCATTGGCATGATGAGCCAACCACTCGGCAGGCAGATTCCTGCCATCGCCTCTCTCGCAAATGGTTTCCGTTGGTCCCTCAAAGACTGTTGTCCGCACCTCCGATGCGTTTAAGATTCCCATGGGCGACATTCCTCCTCCTAGGATAACATTGAAACGATTTCCCGGGGCATTCTCTACCAGCTGTCGTGCAATATCCACGTGAATGCCCACGGACTCCGCAGGAACCTCGGTGTCGCACTCCCAATCCCGGTCGTAAATATGAGCATAGGTGGCAGCTGGCGTGGCATGTGTGATCCTGGTCGTGGTGACTATTCCAGTGCGCTTTCCCTCTTTTTGGGCCCACTCCATAATACTCTGGACGCGACCGGTTTTGGCATTTGTCTTGGAGCGAGTGGCATCCACTCCAATGGCTCCATAATGTGTCTTCGATCCGCTAAACAAAGCCGTGGCCGTTCCAGCGGAATCAGGAACCTGTTTGTCCACATTATAAGTCTGTAAATGATTGGGAAATGTTTATGAATATTAAGGATACAATTTTAAATAATTTCAGGCCTTTACTGACCTTTGCCATTCCCGTGTTGGGGAAGTCATCAAAGACCAGCGACTCCTCCTCGCCATGACCGTGCTTCAGATACTGTCCCTTGTAGATGCGACCAGCACTGATCGTGGACACACCCATGCCATCACCAATGAAAATGATAATATTCTTGGCCTTCTTCCGGTAGGACTTCTCCCCCACTTTCTCCGCCTGCTTGATCGTTTTCTCCAACTGCCTCATAGCTACTTTGTGCCAGAATTCCGCATCTAAAGTAGCAATTAAAATAGTAATTAAATTTAAATCGAACTAGAATTCGTTGGGTAAGTTATGTGTCACGTATTAATTGCTCATCTCCAGTGAAATCCAGTTGGCACTCGAATCGACTATTTAAGTAGTCGTCTAGTTATTGCGATTTATTTTTGTAGGGAACGAGCATTTTCAACAATATGGTTTTAGGTTTCCGCGTTAAAGGCCGAAAACAAATTTTCCCTTAATTTTTGCACTATAATTATATTTCAGTTTCGGGTCGTAAAATATGCAGCTTTTTTTAAGGCAGGTAATATAATTTTATTTAAATCTATATATATAATGAATCATTAATGCATATCTTAATATTTCCCCCTATAAATTTTCAATTGTTTATTATTTCATATATAATTTTGATTTATTAATATTAATTTCAAGTTCAAGTGCAATTATTTTTGGTAATCTGATTTAATTTGCATTTCCTTTCTAATATTTGGAACGTGCACTGGCATCATTTTGTTGATATGTAATTAATATTCAATTGAGGTAGCTTAAGTATGGGGTCTCTGCCACCCACTACCACACACCACCCAGTACCGATCACCGCCCACCACCCACCACCCAACGGCCCCGACACTGAGACAGCTTACAGTTAAGCTTCACTGCTTAACTGCTAATTTCGGCTTGTCAATGAAACTAAAAGTCTATGATTAATCAATTATTTTCCCAGCTGAGCTAAGGTGCAAAAACAGTTGGATTTTTTTTAATGGGATAGAGTTATATTGTAAGCTCTTTTTGTTAAGTAAGATCATGATTAAGTTAAACAATTAGTGGAAGCTAAAGATTTGCGGTTTTAAGTCAGTTGCGTTTTAACCGCAAAGTCAGTTGGCGCCGCCTGAAGAAAAGTCACACTTACCTATAGTTACATATTAATAGTAATTATAAATATAAGCTAGGTAGGTCAACTTCAAAACTCAATTAAAAATTATATAATTAATGTAGAAACTATACCTTTAACTGTAAAAAATATTATAATTTTCTTCTGATTTGCAAATTGGTTTCATGATTTATTCCAAGTTTTTATTTATATTTTATTATAGCCATTTTTTTTTCGACAAATCAATTTAAAAAAACTCATAACTAAGCCAAGAAAGCATTAATTTTAATTCGGAAAGCTGCATACTCAATATAAAATTTTAAGAAATTTAAATTTTCAAAAATTTTTTTGTGACAATTTTAACGAATTTAACCCCTTAAAAAATATTTTAATTTTTTGAAAAAATTAAATTTTTGTCGCACATAGCTAGATTGATTCGGCTGTTGATTCTGATCAAGAATATATATGATTTATAGGGTCGGAAATGAATTTTTCATATCGTTATAAGCTTCTGATTGAAAGTATAATACCCCAAAAAGGCTATAATTTTCTAAGTAATTTAGGAAGCAGATTTTTAAATAAGCAAAATTTTTATAATTTTCTTTTAATTACTTATCACAAAAACTGTTACATAGTTTTATAATTTTTCCATTCTTTTTTTCAAGCTCTCCTTAAATACCTTTTATAACTTCAAAAGTAAATGGCCAGAAACCTTGATCTCAGACTTCTTAGATAATTTACCTAAGATTTTGAAACCTTATTACACGAGCTTAACCATTTGTTGCATAATTTGACTATTAAACCGTTCAAGTTCAAATTAAATTATTTCACGTACTAGGCGTAACGCTTTTTTATGCATTTTGCACGTTTGGCTTGTACTTATATCAGTTACGTCGTAAATTAAGTCTCAGACTAACCTTCTGGTTCCTTTTTGCGGGACTGCTGATCCTCGAATTTAAACTGGGGTCCAATATCTCCACCGGCACTAAGTGTCCGGATCAGTGGCGGTGGTTGAGTGGTGGCTGCCCAGCTAATTGCCATGAGGCCACCACACAAAAGTCCAAATAATGCCAGGGAATGCATTTCTCTCAAAGACGCAACAAATTAAGGGTTTTATTCTCAGAGATTCTACGACAATTCCTATTTATATCACAGCACGGCTTGAGGCGCAGATTCGGTCAGCGGGCCATCGAAGTTGATACGGAATGCGCGGAACGATTTAGTCTCCGTGGGGTTCTTGACGAAATAACTCTCGTGTCCCCAATGGATCTCAATTAGCGACTAACGTCTCAGTCGGCCCTCAAGCGCCGTTATATGGCGAACGATCCATTCGAGAATCCGATCGGCCAGACACGAAGCTCCCGCCACCAACACTTACATACAAAGTAGCACCAGTATTAGGGGATTATATCTATTACCTGTACTTATTGTGTAGACTCGTGGGTCTATCAGACGCGTAGAAATCCAAAGCTTAGTTCTAAATTTAATTTTCCAAAAAAATTAAAGCCTACATATTACATTTCTAGTTTTTAAAACACGTTGATCCTTTGTTTTAATTATTATAATTTTGGGAATAATTTACTTTACTTCTAATCATTAAATTTAGTCATTAATTGCTTTGCAAGAGTATATATTTATAATATAACTAGCTGTACCCTGCCACGTTTCTCTGTGGCATATTGTGGTTAAGAGGGCACTTCTGAATACATCAAGGTTATGGCAAAAGCATCTTCCTGGCATAAGGTGAAGAATGCAGTCAGAGTTGTCGTAGGCGGATTCAGGACTCCTTCTTGCACATTTAGTTCTGGGAAATAGACACGTTGACCATTCTCCAAATTGACTGCCAAGTGAACTACAGCTGGATAGCGTTCATGAATTGGGAACGAAAAAAATCGCCATGCAGCCTCGTTGCTGCTTATGTATCTTCCAGCCTGGTATTGAGAGATTTCATCGACAACTCGTACTGCATTGCTGTCACCATTTTCTGCCTGAACACCAAAAACTGCCATATCGCTGCCTTTATTCACGTACTTGCAGTTATATTTAATCGATTTCACGGAATTGCAATATTCTACGTTGATGTGCGCTTTGTATGATTTTGACAATAGTGGTGTGTATGGAACCACCCAACGATAGTCTACCTCAATATCACCAATTATTATATATTATAAAAGATAACTAAATAATTAACTACAGGATACCTTATAGTCTATAAAAACCACTCAATACAAATAAGATCACCGATTGTTGCTTGCACTTGCAAAACGTTTTGTCTCAATTAAGAAATAACAACGCTACGGCAAGATATATCCATAAAAACGTGCAAATCTCTTACGTATTAAGGGCTTTTCGCCATAAAGACTTTAACGATAGTTTGTTTTTGGCCAGACTCTTGCTTGTCTTCCTCCCGTCATACTCATGTCGATGCGCTGATTTACGGCAGAACTTACACGTGAAGCGACTCTTATTGTCGGCTGCTGGTCGGCTGATTGTACGATTCCCTCCGATTTCGGTCTTATCTTTATCTCTACCGATGTCTGCAGATGATGATGAGATGCCGTTGTTTGTCTTTCCCCCGAAATTGATAAAAACAATCAAGAGGGGTACCTTCAGTGGCACACATTGCGTATGCGTGTTATTTGCACCAAGCTGGCAAACATTGAAAAGAGTTTATCTCCCGTTGCGACCCCTCAATGCCACTTATATTCCATTTAATGGGGATCTTTTTATAGAGCTAGGTCTCTTCATTATGACATAGCATCCTATTGTCATATTGTCATAGAATTCGTCTAGCCTTTGGGTGCGCTCTACTTGATAAAATGTCTCCCCCCAAGATTTATACGTATGATAATCACGTTAAAGTCTAGTGACCGATTGACTATGATATGTGGTAACCTATATTAAGAAGTACCTACTAGAATGTTTAAAAAATATTCTATATGGGGGTTGAATATTAATATAAAATACACCTTCATCTTATATTTTTGATAGAAGTGTATTTAAACGCTCTGGTATATCTTTGATAAGAATTTGTTAAGCAAACATGTTTTGACTTTAATGTTTAATGTTATGACATTATTGTTATAACGGAAACTTAAGCTGACTTAAGTTCGTGGCCATTTATAATCTTAAAAGATCATAAATATTTGTAAACATTTTTAAAGAACACTAAGAAAACACGTTCTGATCTTAATGCCCATCTTTACGTACTTTCATAAGTTTTTATGTTTGCCCAAAGATGAGAGGTGAGTTGAAAGTCAATATTAATCTTTACAGTTGATTCCATTGTAGGCTGGCTGTGTATCACGTTTTATAAAATATCATTTGGTCGGGTGATGATAGATTGTCGACACTTCGCATCAGCGTATTGTAAATCTTTATCTGTTCTCTCTCAGATTATCTTCCAGAGTCGTTGTCTCCGTGCGCACGTTTTCCGACTATATCTACATTAAATAGATAAATCGAAATAAAATAATGGGGAAACTTCCACTGCAAGTGTTTGCATTTCATTAATGATTATTAGATCAACTTGTTGTTTTAATCTATTACGCCTGACTTTAGAAGCAGTTAAAAAAATACCGAGTAAAAATTTATATGTGCATTAATTATATATGGTAAAAATCCTATTTTAAGCTTGCATTTAATAAATTAAAATGTTTAAAATTAAGTAGAATTTTAAATACATTTATATTATATTTTTCTTACCTTTAATGAGTGAATATGTTATATGGTTTACATCTCATTTTGATACCTTTTTTTGCCATTTCAAAATTTAACTAGACTTATTTATTGCACTATTTGCTGCCAATATTTATTGAACTGTTTTTCATGTCACGTATAAATTTTTGCTAATATTGCAGGTGAAAATGAGTGTTTTTTTTTGCCTTGGGATATATTCTATAGAAAGTGTGCCTACAATTAAAAGCTGTACAACTGAGGGTCACAAATTTCTCTTCTTTTTTTTTTGGTTTTGACTAGCATAAGAGAACTTTTCTGGTATAAAATTTTAACTAAAGCTAAGATCAGACACAATAAAACAATTTTCTTCCATCTTTACAAAATACAAGGGCTCTAATTTTGAAAATTACTGACATTTGCTATAGATATTTACATGTGTCTGACCTTATCTTAACGAGAAGTACAACTAAATGGGTAACAGAAAGTCGAAACGAAAATGATAAGTAATAGTATTGAGCAGGTCATGGAGTCCTTCAACTATGAGAACTTCTTGGAGGTGAATCCTGCCCGCACATTGCTGGTGGTGGCCGATTTCACAGTTGTCCTGCTCGTCTTGGTCACTGTTGTGGTGTCATTACTGCTGCTGTTTTTGCTGCTGCTGCTGCTGCTGATGTTGCTGCTGCTGCTGTTGCTGTTCTTTGTCGTCGTGTTGTTATTGTTGCTGCTGCTGCTGCTGCTGCTGTTGGCGACCGTGGTGATGCTGCTGCTGCTGGCACTCATCAGCAGCGGGCGGCGCGGCGGCATCCGTTCGTTGACCGCATCCATGCCTTTGGCCTCGGCGAACGAGTGGATTTGCGTGGCTGCGGTGAGTCCTTGAAGGGCTGTAAGAAAGGGGAGTGGTAGCAAAAGATAACCAGAGTTCAATTAATAATCATCAATAACAATGGCTTGACCAGAAGATTGAACTATGAAAATAATATATACATATTAAGACATTTCATTATTTAAGAATAATAAATCCATTAAAAAATTACATAATTTACAACCAAATATAAATTGTAATTTGAATTACATTCGTAAAAATCAATATTAATAAAAGCCTATTTAAAAGTTTTATAAAATCCACGATAGAGTAAACACAAAACTTTGTGTTTAACGACTTATTAATTGTTTATTCAAAATTCGATTTTAATTGTTAATGACCTCAGCTTATGTCGGAAAAATTAATATATAAACTAAATTAAAACGCTTGACTTTGTCAGTAATACAGGAAAAATGCGTGGCCAACTAATAAGAGTAGTTTTGATTTTATCGCTCCTACATTTAGTTGTAAAGGTTAAAGATTTGCAAAATAACAAAGAAACACTAAAACATATTTATTGTTAAACTTAAAGATCTCTTCGAAATTTGAATTTACCAACGTCGAGTGCATTTCTTTGGATAAAAGATTCGATGACTTTGAATATTGCTTTCTTAAGTCAGTTAATCGGACCTACAAATACTTATCGCTCAAAGTGAATTTATTTAAAACGCCAATCACCAAAGTGAAGGTATGTTAATACTATTAAAAAATATTTATTTATGAATTTTATGTATACATTTCAGTTTAATGGAGTGCTGTTTAAACGGTTTAATGGCTACAGGCCCTTTATGTACAATTTCACATTGGATGCTTGCAGGTTCTTGAACAATACAAAGTCAAACCCATTGGCAAATTACTTTTTCGATTTCCTGAAATCACACTCTAATATGAATCACACCTGTCCTTTTGACGTGAGTGCGACTTTTGAAGAAACGATAAGCATTGATTTAACTTAGTTTTTGTTTATAGCATGATCTAATTTTGGAAAAAATAACTGTAGACTTTATAAATAATCAAATCACAAAAGTTCTACCCTTCCCAGAGGGAGCCTACATGCTGGAAACTCATTGGATCGCCTATGACATCGATCGCGCGGTGGTTAAAATATATGGCACTCTGTCCTGATCTATTAATAAAAACTTAATACTTATTTTTGGCATAATAAATTGATAATAAAATTTTAAAAAATTACCTAATAGACTAGTTACCAAATAAATAAAAATATTTAAATATTATAACGCATGCAAATAAATCTAATTAGCTAACTAGCCAAATATTCAATCCGATAATAAATGTTAATTCTATATAGAAAATCTGATTGCAAAAAATGCAATGAAAAACACAACCTACATACTTTTTTCCCATTAATCGTTGAATGCCCAACCCTAATGGGAATATTTCTAAATTATACAATTTGAATTAAATTATTATTGCTCACAAAATAAGCTCAGTCCTAATTATTCCCCCTTCATTGCAAGATGTCTAATAATATTTTAGTTCTTCATTTTTTTGTGTTCCTCTATGTGATTATTAAGGTTTTTATTCCAAAATAAATTAATGATCAAAGATAAAGGGAACCCAATTTTAGGTATCTTCTAAATTTGAGTTCACCAATATCGAGTGCAACTCAATCGATCCCGATTTCGCTGATTTTGATTATTGCTATCTTAAGTCGGTTAATCGGAGCTACAAATACATGTCACTCAAAGTGAATGTTTATAAAAAACCCGTTTCCAAATTTAAAGTATGTCACTACGAAGTGTAAAGTAAGCATAATTCTTTAGCATCTAATTATTTTAGGTTAATATGTTACTGTTAAAGCGGTTTAATGGCTATCGACCTTTTATGTATAATGTCACCGTGGATATGTGCAGATTTATGAAAAAGCCTGACATAAACCCCATCGCCAATTACTTCTATGAGCTCTTTAAAACCTATTCAAATCTTAATCAATCGTGTCCTTTTACAGTAAGTTGATTGAACTACTGCTTAAACTATGGTTAGTTTATATATCTAAAACAGGAAGATGTTATCGTGGATAAACTGCCTGCCACCTTTGTAAATAATCATATCACAAAGGTTTACCTTTCCCAGATGGGGATTACTGTTTGGAATCACATTGGTTTGCCTACGAAGTCAAAAGAGCGACGGTTAAAGTGTTTGGCACTTTAATCTGATCAATGTATAATAATTGAATTTACAAAAAATAAATTTAAAATTTAATATTTTACAACTATTTTTAAAATTTAAAAGGGTGGCTTGATTTGAAAATTACAAAAATGCTGCAATGCGATCCAATAACAAATTATGCATATAAAAAAAATTCAAAATACATCACAAATTTTTCAAAATTTTTCTGTGTAATTTACGGATAATTAGCGTTAACTATCTACATATGTATTGAAATTTTATTTATTTATATAAAGCTAGCGGTTGGTTGTAAACTAAAAGCTAACTTAATTGAAATTTTATATTTTTTCGCATTTGTCATGGTAGGTTGGTGCCAAAAGTGATAAAAAATGAATTAAAATAGGCGGCTTTTTAACGAGAATATAATTTTTGATGTAGCTTGGCTTATTAAATTTAAATGGAATGTTATATATATTGGACCTGATTTCAAATTAATCGAACACAAGTTAATTTCCATTGTCGAAAGATGGGTGCCAAATATAAATTTCTTGTATTTCTTTTGCCGCTTTTATGTTCATTTTTAGAGGTAAGCTATTTTGAAATCCACAAAATAACTATATAACATATTGAACCATCCAAAGGTCTCCTCAAAATTTGAATTTACCAATGCCAAGTGTACATCATTGGATAAGAAATTTGCTGACTTTGAATATTGCTATCTTAAATCAGTGAATCGGACCTACAAATACCTATCGCTAAAGGTTAACTTGTTTAAAACGCCTATTACCAAAGTCAAGGTATAAAAATAATATAAAATCTAATGTGCTAGAATTATGCAAATTTATATTTGAATAATTTTAGATAAATGTTGTCCTCTATAAGCGATATAACGGTTACAGGCCCTTCATGTTCAATATAACAGCAGATGCCTGCAGACTATTGAAAATCCAGAGTCACTTCCTGTGGCCAGTTACTTTTATGCTTTTTTACAAAATTCACAAATATGAATCATACGTGTCCCTATGACGTGAGTATAAAATAATAATATTTTTTAGTAATAATTACTACCTCATTAATTTTATAAAGCATGATCTCATCGTGGACAAACTCAACATAGACTTTGTCAACACTCAAGTCACAAAGGTTCTACCCTTCCCAGAAGGAGATTACATGTTGGCAACTCAATGGTATGCCTATGATATCAATCGGGCTGTGGTTAAAATATGTGGCACCTTATCTTGAGCTGATTTTAAACTATTACTTAAAGTATTCTGTATTGTTATTATTATTTTCTAACCTTATTAATTTTAATTTGTTATACACTACTTTTTAATTCAGCCCGATGAGAATACTCTTGCAGATGAAAACACAATACAGTCAAGAGAGACAATTAAAAATAAATACCAAGCATATCATAAAAGAAATATATTTATTTATCTCCTAAAAAGGATTAAGCTGTATAAAGTTAAATACTGAGGAGAAATTTAAAGCCAAAATATAAAACTATTATAAAAAATGATGCAGGTGGAAAGTTGTCTTGTTTTGAAGTTTAAATATTAAAAGGTTTTGTACTCAATTGGCTTATTAGTTTGATTTAAAAATACTAATAGTAAAAGTAATAATTTATATATAATATATTACTCACTGGTTTGCCTATGACATTGATTGCCCACTCTTTAAAGTCTATGGTACTCTATCCACGTAATTATAATAATTCCCAAACAGCTAAACTTTAAAACTTTGTATAATTTAACGTGAACCTGGATTACCTAAACAGCGTAAAATTTGTTGTTCAATTTTGGTGGTATCATACACCGTCAATCTCAAAACCATAAATACAAAATTTGCTCTACTTAAAAATCCAAATGTATATATAATTATTCCCTTGGAATAATAATTGCTGATACGTTTTAAATGATTTTTACGAACAAAATTACTGAAAAGCTTAGTTCTCTTTGTTGCTTTCTCTATTTAAGATGGATACAAATTCTAGCAGACAACTATTAAGCTTAGTTGTAATAATTTGTATGGCTACCGAGGTAATTGCATTTGATATATTTACAAAAATAAAATATATATTTGAGATATACTTTAAGGTTTCCTCAAAATTTGAATTTACCAATGTCAAGTGCACGACTTTGGATGCGAAATTCAATGACTTTGAATATTGCTATTTAAAATCGATTAATCGAACCTACAAATATGTATCTATTAAAGCGAATTTGTATAAAACGCCAATAACCAAAGTCCGAGTAAGTAAATTTATTCATATAATAGTTATTTCTTCTAATTTTTCATACTTTCTTTTCTTTCCTTAGTTTATTGGAGTACTTTTCAAGCGATTTAATGGCTACAGACCGTTTATGTACAATGTGTCTTTGGATGCTTGCAGGTTTTAAGGAATAAGGACTCCAATCCGATGGCAAAATTCTTCTTTGAGTTCTTGCAATTCTACTCAAATATAAATCATACCTGTCCCTTTGATGTGAGTGAGAGTAGTTATATATCTATTAATATTAACTAATATATACATATCTATATTTTATTTAGCATCCCCTGATTATAGATAAACTACCATCAAGTTTTGTGAACCATCAATTTACAAAGGATATACCTTTCCCGGAGGGAGATTATCTTCTTGAAACACATTGGATTGCCTATGATGTTAAACGTGCGATTGTTAAATTTTATGGCACCCTTTCGTAATATTTTATATTATTCGAATGTAAAAATGTACAATAAAATAACAAACACTGCTTTAAATTAAATTATACTCTTAAAATATAGATAGATATATAATTTATATATAAGAATGAATAGTACTTACCCTCCTTGAGGGAATCCCTTCCACCGGACAGAGCACCCACTGGCAAGGCACCCGTGGGCGTTAGACCCTTCAGCTGGAGCACGCTCTCCGACTCCTCCCTGATAAATATTTTGATTATTCAGCTAAATTCTTAAAACATATATATAAAGTGTGTGGATAATGCACCTGAGAATGGAGAAGACGCGCGACATCTTGCCAATGGCCCGTATCTTATTCCGTATTATCTCTTTGCGCAGCGCCGACATGGAAGCTGCGAATTGAGGTCTCGATTAGACGGAATCTCGCTGGATCACATGCGGGGGGAATGTTATGGAAAGCAGCCGGAAAATTCGCTGGAAAGCCGATCAAAGCTGCGCTAAAGCTATCACTAAGCTTTTCTATATATTCAGCGGTGGCAATTTGGCGATGGCTCAGGTATTTTTCTTCTTTTGCGACAATGCCATTGGCATTGGTATTATATCTGGCGGCGGTGGCGGTGGCGTTTTCTCTTGCATTTGCATTGGCATTGCTTTGGCTTGGGCCTGCGCTTAACACGTGGCTTACCTGGCTTACTGGGCGTATTATTGTTATTGTTATTATTCACGTTCGCCGGCACGAGCACAATTTTCTTACGTAGCTCTTTTGTTGGGTTTTTTGGTTTTTGTTTATTTGTTGTGTTTTTTTTGGAGTGGAAAGTTGTTTGGTGTTTTGGTACATTTATTATTATGGGTGTTGGTAGTAGATTGCAGTTGTTGTTTTTATTTTTGTTTCGGAAAATATTTTAATAGAAGATTAGTTTGTAATTCAAGTGTATCCATACTTTGCCCACACAACAACCAAAGCACTACGACAGTTACACACGGATCTAATAGGATTATATACCCACCCCTGAGACCCAAACTTACCTTCTTCCAGCTCATCATCGGGTCCAGCCACCAGTTCGTCATCGGAGCAAATGTTCAAGATGTTGACCAACATCTCGGTGACCTAAGAGATAATAAGGGATATATTTTTTTAAAGTAGATTTTATTTTTAACTGAATTGTTTTCCGATCACTATTTTCAGGGGGATTAATCTCGGTATCCCACTCACCTTCTCACCCACAAAGGGCAGCGACCATGTAAATACGTCCATGAAATTGGGCAGCCAGTAGGGATGCGGTGAGCAATTAAATTGACGAATGTTCATCACGTTGTTCTCGTACTTGAGCACAGCTGCCTTTTGTCAAATGCGTTCATTTTGGTTGACAAATGAGCGAGTGCCGGAGACGGAAGTAGATCGATAGATCACGAGAGAGAGAGAGAGAGAGAGAGGGAGAAATAGGGCAGAGATATTACGAACGCAGCGCGAATTAAGATCGCACCAGCTCGCAATGCAGCCAAAAAAGATTTCGTTATTTAAAAATAGCAGCAAAAGGCAAGAACAACAAACAGCAAAATAAATAAACAACCCAGACAGGGACAGAGAATCATAGATATAGGGACTACATATAGGGTAGAAAGGAGGGAGAGATATCATACCTTGTTATTGTAAACATCCAAATAGTTGGGGGCGGAGAAAATAGTGATCAGTGAGGGGAAGCCAGTCACCTGGTTCTTTCGATACATGCGGTATCTAGAAAAAAGAAAACTATTAGTTAAGGTGCAGAGATAAATACGTAAAATTATAAAAGTAAGGAAAAGTAGAGAACTATATTATTTAGTTAGATTTCTTTGAAATAAAAGTACTCGATACGAAATGCTTACAAATTCGAAATCAAGCTAGAAAGTGCTCAAAAGTATGCAATAAAATATGTCAAATAGCAAAATTCCTATTCTTTTGATCATAATTTTAGTTGATTTGAAATCTACAGATATTTGTTTGCTTAATTGTTTAATAGATGATGTTGGTTGTATTAAAAAACTGAACTCACCCAGCATCCTGAGCCTCGTGAGCCCTGACTATCGAAAGCAGGTTGTTCTTCTGCAGAAACTCACAGCAGGCCGAGTAACTAAAGAAGTACGAGCATCCTCTTACTGAGTTGTGGGAGAAGAACTCATTGGTCTTCTCATTGCCAAAGTCCTCCAGAGGATCGGACCAAAGGAGATCGCACATGGGACCATAGGCCGGTGGTTCCCTAAACCGATTCAGCTGAGGGAATATGCATACATACATTAATATGCAGAGGTGCATTGTGGGAAACCGTAAACATTTCAGCGTGCCAGTTGTTGGCCAAATTTATTACCGTCTTGATGTCGTCGAGTGTGAATATCTCGGGCGACAGGCCGCCATGGATGCAGAGGAACTGCTGGTTGAGGAGGGCGGCTAGGGGCAGGCAGTCGAACGCCTCCATGCAGGCGTCGTAAATACTTTCCGAATATTTGATGATGCCTTCAAACCAGAAGAGAGAGAAGGAGAGTGAGATGTAATGGTGGAATTAATGAATGGAGGAGAATGAGCATCCGTAGGAGAGATTTATCGCATGCGGCCGCTTTTAAAAACCCATTAAACGCCTTTGACAACAACCATTAAATGGGAGAAGCGCTTCGTTTATAATATTTCTTCGGTTCTAAAATCAATAGGAGTCAGATAAATTTTCTTTAAGAACCATAAAAAATTATGACCCTAAAATGTTAATTGGAAATTTCTGGTAAAATTATTAAATTTTTATTAAAAATGATCAATGAAAACAAGTTTATTTTACTTGTGAAAATATCCGAAATTAAACCTAAACCATTTTCTGAAACCTAATTTTTTTTCTCTAGAATCTGGCTTATTATGTCATGGTATATTTTTTATGACAAGTAAACTTAACATTTTTATATTCCTTTTTAATTCTATTGGCTGTGTGTTTTTGAACTTACATTCCTGTTTGAAGGTAAAGTACTCTGTCAGGTGTCTGCACTCGTGATTTCCTCGCAGGAGGGACAGTGTGGTGGGGTAGGTTATTTTTAAAGACCACAGATATAGAACGCACTGAAAGCAACAAGTATTTACTATAAATTTTAAATAAAACATAAAAGCATTTATACAAAAATCTTAAATTATGTTAACTAAATTGTAGTAAAATCTTTACAGAGAATTATACCAACTCACCTCTATGCTAAAGTAACCTCTATCCACATAGTCGCCAAGAAAGAGGTATCTAGTGGTGGCAGGTGGTCCACCAACTTCGAAAAGCTTAACCAGGTCAAAGAACTGTCCGTGAATATCACCGCAGACGGTAATGGGTGCCTCCACGTCGATCATATTCTTCTCCTCACGCAGCAGGGCAGCACCCTCAGTGATGATTCTCAAGGCCACGGCCTCCTCGACACGTCCCTCCAACAAAAAGTGCTGACGCAGTGCATCGAAGTTGGGCTTTCCTGTCTTGGGATCATCGTAGACCTCCGACATGGTCAATTTGTGGGTGGGTGGCAGAGGCACATCTACGTGGATACACCGAAAAATATTTAAGTGTCATTTAAAACAATTAATTATAATTAAGTGATTTATAATAGATAAGAGGAAGCATTATAAAAAACATTTTTACGAATATAGATGAATCTCAGAAAATAAGAGGAAGTATCACAAAGGCACAAGACTTTTGATCTTAATAAAACTCTACGGCAAGAAAAGACGACCCCTCTCTATTGAGAACAAAATCAATATACGTCTTAATAGACAGAAAGATCAACAAAATTGTATAAATTTAAAACCAAATATTGGTTTTACATACCGACAAAAAATTCTTTCTTGTGTAGTGGGGTGCATTGATAGAATTATAATAAACATTGCTGTCTGATCGCGATGTGGGTTAACGAGCTGCTGCAACTTAGCGCCAATATTCGGTTTGGCCGCTTTTCTTGGCCCGCCAATAAAGAAAAACCCAAAAATTCAGCCAGATGCAGCCACATGAGTTTCGTACGCTAATTACAAAAATTTGACTGAGTGAATATAAAAGTCGAAAATTGATTGGCACACACAAAAACAAACAAACGTAATCACACCAGGCCGAACGCCATTTTTAATTGTCATAATTTTGGGGAAATTGTTGAAAATTTGATGCTACGACCAATAAAATGCCAATGTGTGGCATTTGTTGTTTTGTTTGTTATGGGTGCTCATAGATAATTAAATTTATTTTTATTGGCCCCATAAACCTAGAACAAAAGCAAATGCCGCTTTCGAATTTAAAGGTTATTTGGTTTTTGAAAAAAGATGTCAACGAAATAATGAAAACTACAATTTAACTTTAGTACCATAGTAAAAATTTAAAATGCGTTTTGAAAAACATGGTAAAGGTTATTAAATATTTATCAATTTTTTTTATGTCTTCATAATGCATTCCATCTTTGTTACCTGAAGTTTATAAATTATCTGCATGTTTTAAAAGAATCGCTAGACAAACATGAAATAACATAATTAAAAGCAAGCTGCTAAAATTAATGCTTATTAGTATAAAAGTTTCTTTAAGTCTCCAATCTTTTCTCTTAACTCTTAAATACCTTATTTCCCTCTCTAATTTCTATTTTTTCAAAGAAATGTAGTTGAAAACTACTAATTTTGACACTAATGCAGGCGGTCGGTACGTCAGAAATCCATTGATGCATGATCGAATATCATTAAAGATACAATCCGCCAGAGGGTTACGTGTTTGGGTTAATGCTTGAGTGGGGTCTGTACAAATCGGTTTAGAATATAATTTAAAATTTACCATCTACCATCCGCTCCTTGGTTTTTGTGTACTGCATTTTCTGTTTGTTACCAGTGGTGGCTGTCGGTGGGTTTTTGGCTGAACTCGTTGAGGATTTTGTGGATTTGTCTGCGCTGGCACTTTTGGATAGCGACGATTTTCTCGTCACCGAACTTCGCGTGGAGGCCGACATATTGTTAGATTATTTATTCGGCTTTTGTTTTGAATTTTTTGTATGAATTTTAATGTGTTTTATATTTTTGTTGTTGATCTTTTTGCGATTCCTTAGCATGGGATATATATTTTTTAATGGCTTGATTTTTCGCTGGTGCTGAAAGTGTTACTAGCACAAGAATTTGGAAAATTATACGCCTTTGCCTAGCGTCTTTATGGACACTCATGCACACACTCGTAAAATCGCACACACACACACACACTGCGGGACACATGAAAATATACAAATATATTTAGGCAATAAATAAAATTTGTTGTTATATTGTATAGCTGTGGACTTTCTTGTATTTTTAGCCAGGCAATGCCAATAGCGAGATAGAGACAACTTTTATTTATTATTTTCTTTACTATATTTTTGCCAACCATTCGCTATGCTCGACACACACAAAATAAATGCCGAACAATTAATATTTCAATTTGGTGCAATTATTCAGAGACGTATTAACTTTTCATTAAGTCATCACATTGTTTTTCACATATGTTAAGTATATTTGTATCTTGGCAAAGGGCGCACTTCAATTGAGTCAGAAAATTGCTCGACACTTTGTGCTAATTACCCACAAAACAAACGCGAGCTAAAATAGCAAAACGGATATAGAAATAGAATCTGAATCTGAGTGAGCGGACGCTAAACGAAAGGCATACACATATATCACTTTGGTCACACTTTGTCTGCAATTATTATTATTTTCATGCAGATCTTTAGGCTAATCCTTGCGGGTTTTTCGTGCCTTAGTCTCGCTGATTTTCTTCGTGGAACACGACACAACGCATTTCCCAAGTTGGCGCGTCGCGATTTTCCTCGAAACTGAGCGAAAAATTTTGTTTGCCAAACGATCCGCAGCGTATGGCATCCAAGATCCAAATCGAAAGCCCGAAGAAGATCGGTACAGATCGGCGGATCTCTCACCGGATCTCTCAGGCTGCGCCCTTGACTCGCACTCTCCGATAAAAATACACGCAAAACTATAATTAAAATACTAGGATTGCATTAAATAAAAAAAATTGTCTAATTTTACAATATTTTAACCATTTTTATATAAATTTTAAGCCTGCATGTATGTTAAGAAGAGGTAATAAATCGAGGTTTTCAATTTTATTTAAAACCTTTGATGTAAATTGTAAAATATTTCTTTTAACTATTTTAAGGACTTCATTTACAAATCTTTCCATATATATTTTTGCAGAGCCTTATTTAAAATTTTTTTCATTATTTAAAGCCATTTGACATTTAAAAACATTTAAAAAGAAAGGAAGCTAGTTTCGGAAACCTGTAATTTTATACACTTGAAATGAAAATAGAATAGAACATAACTTCGTTGAAAATTTTAAATTTCATCGGAATCATTAATAATCATTAATTTTCAATCGGAAAACTCTGTGTTAGTTTTTGTTAGATTACCAAATCTGCATTTAATTAAAAAAAATTTACATTTTTCCTTGAAATTTGTAATATTTTAATGACGTAACCCCTTATAAAATTTTCCAAAAATTGGTAAAATTTTCTTTTCCTGCCGGAGATGGACGGATCGACGATGCTGATCAAGAATATTTATACTTTATAGGGTAGGAAATGACTCCTTCAGTTAGTTTGACTAAAATTATAATACGATAGTCTGAAATTTATAGAACTTAAATTATTAATTTAATTATAAAAAGATATTTGTGCAAAAATGAGGAAAAACTCAATTTCTTATGTATTTTTTTCATGTGTAAAAATATTACCCCTCTCCCGTAGGGTTCCTGTCTCTGCTCTACCGATCTATTTATTTATTATTTTATTGGGTTAATGTCACACACGCACTTTGCTCACACACTGTCTCTCCGCCTCGTCCACAGCTTCCACTTCCCTCGAAATGCCCTTCTGCCCGATCGCCGACCTTCGCAGACATTTACACATCTGCGCTATGTCTCCCCCGATTCCCCATTCTATATCTCATTCCCCATCCACATCCACATCCGCTCTCAATGCTTTTCAACTTGACCGTGAGACGCATCGTCGTTGTCCGCTTGTCCGTGATATTGAGTGTGTGCGTACGATTGTGCCTGCCTCTCGTTATAAAGACGTGTGTGTGTGTTTGCTAGAAATTGGGCGCCAATAGGTGGGTGTCGCTATAATTATAGTCTTGACTTTGTGCGCGCCTCGTGCAAAAATATATGAGTACTATAAATAGTCGGGTATATTGGTTAGGTTAAAAGGGATGTACAATTGTGATTAGTTAAGATTGATTTTGACAAAGAGAAATTCATCTCTAAATAAAATATAATACAAAATATAAATAAAAATATAGTTAATGCAAATTAAAACATAGTAAAATATATTATATATCTTAATAAAATATTTAAATATTATCTTTAAATTAACTGGTTGATTTGGGTTCAGAAATTTGTACAGTCAATACAAAATTATAAATAGTTATTAAATGTTTGTAATTTAAATATTACAACTATTTTATTATAAGAGTTATTGTATGTATTTTTGTAATATATCATGGAAAGTATGTATTTTTTTAATATATCATAGAAATCTTAAATTTATTCTTCTTATTTCAGTTACAATGATTTTTCTAGAGTATATAACCTTCTCCCATATCTTTAAAGCATTCTTCTGGTGGAACCAATTTCATGCAACTTTTATGCGAAGCGTGGCAATATTTTAACAACAATCTGTGTGAATATACCAGCACACACACACACCACACACCGTACACAACTTGTGTGTTTGTCTTGTCAATGTTGTTTGTCGCGATGGTCAATTGATATGTATGGCGGATGAAATGCTATATCTCCCCGATAGCTCCATAATATATGCTATGTGATGGAATCGGGTTTGCAATTGCAATTGCCGAGCAATGCCAATGCACTCGCAGCTGCTGAAATGCGCATCGATGGCTGTCGTAGCATTTGGATTGCGGATTTTCGATTTCTTTTTTTTTGGCAAGGAGCAGAGACGATTTTACTTGGACGCCCCCGCAGCGCAGAAATCACAACGAGAGAGTGAGACAAAAGCAAGACGAGTCACACGACCGCCGTAGACTAGAAAGAAATACTTTCCGGTGCTAACCAGTGTGAGTGTGGAATTGTGGGTGTTTTGGGTATTTGGGTATTCGGGTATCTGGGTGCCGTAAGGGGCAGGTAAGTGGTCGGTAGGGAGTGGGCAAGGGGTGGCCTAGGTTGGGCGATGAGAGCATTGCATTCTCGTCGCGACATTTTGGCAAATGCGCTGACAGCCCAACCCAGTCCAGCCCCCTGTCCTTCTGCGAGAATATTAATATAATCTCTACCTCTAGGGGTACATTAAGCTTTTGAATATCATATATACCAAAGATGTTTTTGAAAAATATAATCTCATCTTGTACGATATGTCTTACGAAAATCTCTTGAGATTTGTTTAAAAATTAGGAATTATCATACATTCGTAAAAGGAAATAAATAAATTAAAGATTTTTTTTGAAATTAACTAAAACTTAGCTTTAGCTTACCATAATATGGATGATTAATATAACTATAAAGTGATCTTTCTGAAAAATATAAATATTATTAATAAATATTATTACAAATATTGTCAAAATTTATCCAAGAATAATATAGACAAATCAATAATAACAAACATATCTTTAAATAATATATGCAATAATATAGTATTTACTCATCCAAATTTGTAGTACCAGGTACTCTATCGTCTTATGATATTTATAATTTTTGTTTCTATATATATTCCGATATCTGCTTGTTTTTTTTGGCCAAAAATATCTTTGGCAGCATATTTTAAACGCAATTAAGAGGCGTCCCAAATATCAGCAGCCAGGGAATTGTTGCAGTCTTCTTCTGGCCGAGATTAAGTGGACGACACTCGCAATTGATTCACCTCTAAATTATAAACTAGCAGGATCGTACCATTTAAGTCAGAGCAATATGGGACTGGTGTGTGTGGCATTTGTTAGGAGATTTGCTTGAATAATTTGCCAGTCAAGTTGAGTCAAGTTGTTCGCTTTTCAGCGCCTGACACTTTGAACACCCGGTTCGTCATGTTGGCATGTCACAATGTCTTCTGGCCGACACACATATAAATTTTTGAAAATAGCAGAATGCCAAAATAACCGCAATAGCCAAGAAAAAAACACAAATATCCCAAAAAAGAGCCAGCGTGCTGGTCAAGTATTTTTAAAGCAATGTTTTTTATGCTCGCACCCAAACTCAATTGCTTGCTTCCTCTCTAAACAAAACGCCACTGAAATAAAAAGATAATATTGACACGTAACGCAAACATTTCATTCATTGTTTGAACTTTTTTCTTTTCGGTTTTTTTTCTCTGTTTTTGGCTCATCCTATTTGTTGTTGTTTAGTTTTCGTTCTTTTCACGGCTGTTGTATAAACAATTCATTTGAATTATGTGACCACAGCGGCTGTGCGGTTATGTGTGAATGATGGCCGATTTGTGTGTTATTCAGTGGCCAGTAAAATGAAATAATTATAACTTCACTTCCTCAAGCATTACTTAATTAAATTTATGGTTATTATAAATTTATTTTGATCGAAGAAAGCGGCAAAGCTAAAATGTAAGCAAAAGAAAGCTTAGCAAGTTCAGCCACCCAAAAAAGCTTTTTATAATGTCTCAAATTCAGTTCGGTTTTTTATTGCGAAAAGTTTAACTTAATTTTAAAAAATATCTATAAAGAGGGCCAATAAACTGTTACAAATATAATATATAATAAATTGTTTGGTTACAATATAATTGCCTCAATTTACCTTTCCAAATTGTTGTTGTTCAATCCTATAAATATATTTTTACTAAACTAAAGCTATTTAAAATAAAAAAACATACAATTATACAATCAAGAATTTATTTAATTTGTTAATTTATCTTAAATACCTTTTCTTTGTTTACTTATAATAATAAAATAACTTACAAATCTTCCATGTCACTATTTTTATACTCATATACAATATATTCCAGTTATCTATTGAGTTAACATCAAAGCAAAAATCATGTATTTTGTATTTTTTAGTTGCTTTAACAAATTTCATATTTTGTATCATTTAATTTAAAAGAATTATGTAGTTTTTATGATTTTTCTTGTGAGTGCATTGTCTTCCATTAAAACTCTTCATGTCTGCGGCTGCCATTTTACAAATTGATAAACTTTACAGTTATCATTGTTTATGTATCTTTCCGGCCCAAGCCGTTATCCCCTCTTAGCCTTTTGGCCCCCCTCTCGTACCCCTTTCCACCCACTTAACCCCCTGTTTTCATCATTGTTTTCCCGGCTGCCTGCCAAACATTTGCCAAGCGAAAAGTTTTCTCTTCTTTTTCTTCTTTGCTGTTCACATTTGTTTGCTTGGGATTTGCCAAAAACAGAAGTGCCCAAAAAAAAGAGAGGAAAAACCAAAAGCAGAAACTTCAAATATAAAAAGGCAGCACAAATTTTTATTGAATTGATTTATTGACTTACTTATTTAGGCGCTCAACGCTCATAGATAAGCGTTGTCTTGCTGTTGTCCGTGAAACCTTTTTCCCCAATTTTCTTTGTTTTCATGCTGTCAGTTGGCAGCAATAACAAGGGCCCAAAATAAATATTTAGTTTTCATTTATACAATTTTCCTCAGTCTTGGTCTCTGTCCCGGCTCCTTCCTGGGGGCCCATTTCGTGTTTAACTTTATCTTGGAGGGGTCAATGCAAGTCTATAAAAATCTAGTTAATTGAAAAGTAACCAATGGCTTTTCCCAAGAGATGAAAATGGATTTATATTACTAAGCATATTATTGGTTTGGTATTAACTCGTATTATAATTGCTTACTTTGGAAGGATTTAAAATCTCTAGAAAATGCCTTTAATATTAAAGATACCAAGCAAAGAATAAAAACAAATTTTAAAATATATGCTCTTGCTTTTACTATAGCATTTTAATTTATATTTAATTGTTGTTACCCTTTAGTAATTCAATATTTATCTAGTCGTGCTACATTCAGGAAAGGTTAAAATAAATTTTAACGTTTGCAAAAACATTCTTGAAATGAATCCATCGAAACTCAAAGAGGTAATCACCTTCGGGCAATGGAAGAATTTTAGTCACTCGATGATTCAAAAATTCGACGGGTAACTTGTCCAAGACTAGGTCGTTCTTAAACAAATACGATTAATAAAAATTAATAAATATTTCAATCTAGTTACCATAAAAGGACAAGAGTGGTTAATGTTGCAATATGGCACGAAGGAGTCGTAAATAAATTTGGCAACGATATTTGACTTTGGGTTTTCCAAGAATTTGCATCCATTCACTGTTGTATTGTAAAGGAAGGGTCGGTATCCATTAAAGCGTTTCCACATGACTAAGTTTACCTATCATTAATGTCTATATGGTTATACGGACTTTACTAAATCTATATTTAATATATTACAAACCGAGAAATTTGCAAAGGGGATTTCAATTAGTTTAGCTTTCCCAGATAAATACTTGTAGGTGCGGTTTATAGATTTTAAGTAGCAATACTCAAACTCAATAATGTCCTTGCCATAAGCAGTGCAATTTACGTTTGTAAATTCAAAGCGACAATGTGCCTTTTGTTGAAATTAAAATAAATATATTTTTATATTATTTCGATATTTAGGTAAATTTTAGTATAACTTACTTCAATCGTCAAATACAAAATAATCAGAATTGACCGCCGTAAATAGGTCTTAATGTACATCTTGTTTGGCCGATATTTGATTACTAAATTATTGCTGAACTAAATCACAAAGAAACAATTTTGTATAGCTTAACACTGAGAACGCAATTACCAAATGTACATGAATTTTTAATTGACGATTGGGGATTATGTACTTTTAAAATTACACTTAAATTCAAATTTTAGACAAACGTAGATTATAATGCTAATAAGTAACTAAGGTACCATGCATTAAATAGTCATTAGGCCTTACATTTATGAAACGGTACAATATATTTTAGCGCTTGCAATTAAAGATCTAGAACGAATCCATAGGAATTCAAAAAGATAATCGCCTTCGGGAAAAGGAAGAATTTTGGTAAATCGGTGATTCATAAAATCCACGGGAAGCTTTTCCACATACAATTCATTCTTCCAAAAAGATTAAAATAAAAATGAAGTTATTTGTTAATTTTAAGGAACATTAAGGCTTACTTACTTTGAAGGGACACGAATGATTCATATTAGAATATTCCACGAATGATTCATAAATAAAATTTGCAACAGGGCTAGATTTCGGTGTTACCAAAAATTTGCATAAGTCCAACGTTATATTATACAAAAACGGTTTATATCCATTAAAACGCTTCCATAATCTAAAATTAACCTACATATAGTCGTATAAAAATAAATGTTAATAAGATTTCAATGGTATCTTGATAGCCTAACATACCTTTATGTTTGATAGAGGAACTTCATACAATTTAATTTTTCCCGATAAATATTTATAGGTTCGATTTATTGATTTTAGGTAGCAGTACTCATAATCAATAATTTGTTTTTCATAAGAAGTGCAATTTACATTTGTAAATTCAAATCGAGAATCGGCCTTGAGTGGGATTAACATATATTCACTTAATTCCTTATTTAGATGAATATAGTGGTTCAACTTACTTCAATTGCAAAATACAAAACTATTAAAATTGATACCAGCGACGAACCCATAATGGCTATATTGTTAGACCGATACTAAAGTCCTAATACTATGTAACTGAATTGAAATTATATTGAAATAGTTCAGAACTGAAATAGAATTAATCATTAAGCCCAATTTAAAATAGCTTTAACATCGAGAGCCTATTTATCTGAAACAAATTCGTTTTCAATTAGTCTCGTTTTGTATAAACAAATGTAGAATATGTGGACTTTTGGCGATCATAATGGGTAAAATATGGAAATCACTAAAAATTCATTAAAAAATCGTTAGGTTTAGTTGGGGTTCTAACATTTATGAAACTTTACAATACATTTTACCGCTCGCGATCACAGATCTAGAACGAAACCATAGTAAAAAGATAATCGCCTTCGGGAAAAGAAATAATTTTGGTCAGTCGGTGTCATAAAATCCACAGTAAGCTTTTCCAATAACATATCATTATTTAAAAAAAAATAAGAACTAGAATTTAAATGTTACATAACAATATAATTAGGGATACTTACGGTGAAAGGGCAAGTATGATTTTTATCGGAATATTCTGTGAATGAATCGTAAATAAATTTTGCAACTGGGCTCGATTTCGCCAAAAACTTGCATATATCCATCGTTATATTGTACAGAAAGGGTTTATATCCATTAAAGCGCTTCCGCAATATAAGATTTATCTATTATATATGTATTTATAAATGAGAATCAACCTTGAGTGAGAAATAAAAAAATATATACATTTATTTTTCAGATGAATGATGGAATACTTTACTTCAATCGCAAAATACAAAACGACCAAAATTGACATCAGCAAAAATGGCTTAATCAACATTATGTAAGACCGATACTAGCGTACTAATTGATTATTACTGATACTAACTTGAATTTATATTGAAATAGTTCAGGTCAAAAATAGAATTAATCATTAAGCGCAATTTCAAATAGCTTAAACATCGAAAGCCTATTTATTATTATTATTTCTGACAGCTTGCTTTACTTGCTATAATTAATTTTCAATTCTATATTTCATATTATTATACATTATTATCCTTACCTTACCAAGGATGCTTTCTATGCGGAGCTCGACCGGGCTTATGGCCGCTGTCCTTCCCATGACATTAAGATCCTCCTTGGGGATTTTAATGCCAAGGTAGGGCGAGAAGACATCTTTGGTGCCACCGTCGGGCAATTTAGTCTACACGAGACCACCTCGAGCAATGGTCTCAGATTAATAGGCTTTGCTGCAGCGCATAATATGGTAGTTCGTAGTACTGGGTTTCGTCATTTGGACATACACAAGGCATCATGGCTCTCTCCTGATCGACTGACCAGAAATCAGATCGATCATGTTGTGATCGATGCAAGGCATGCATCTAACGTACTCGACGTGCGATCCTGTCGGGGTCCCAACATCGACTCCGACCATTATCTTGTTGCAGCTAAGATTCGCACACGGCTATGTGTTGCGAAGGTTGCACGTCGAGGACTGTTGAGAAAGCTGGACATCGGGAAGCTGCAATCACAACGGACAAGGGATGCATTCTCCACTCAAGTCTCAGGCCTGCTGAGCCGAGCAACTCCAACACCTGAAGACATCAGCAATATGTGGGCACTCATATCCCACTCCCTGCGAACTTCTGCAGAAGAGGTCATCGGATTCCAACGTGCCCCAACGAGGAATCCATGGTACGACCAGGAGTGTCGCGACGCAACAGCTGCAAAAGACGCCGCCTACAGAAGAACACTGCAAGCTGGGGCCACAAGGGCTGTTGTCGAGGTCTACAGGTCAAGGAGGAGAGATGAGAAACGCCTCTTCAGACGCAAGAAGAGAGAACAGGAGAGGCGTGAGTGTGAGAGCATTGAGAGCAGCAGATGCCGGAATGAAGCTCGTAACTTCTACCAGAGGGTTAAGCGTCTGACCCAAGGTTTTAAGACTGGAGGAGTTGCGTGCAAGGACGATGACGGAAACCTAGTCACAGATGCAGAGATTGTGCTGAGGTTATGGAGGGAGCACTTCTCAAGTCTATTAGCTGGCTCTGGCTATGATGACTATGGAGAGTATGATCCACAAACCCCAATCTATGGTACTGATGTGGACGTACCGACCCCAAGCCATGCCGAAGTCAAGGTTGCAATCCAACGACTTAAAAACAATAAATCCGCAGGTGCTGACGGCCTGCCGGCTGAATTGTTTAAGGCTGCTGGTGATATGTTGGTAGGGAGCATGCACCAACTAATCAGCAAGATATGGCTAACGGAGAGCATGCCCGACGATTGGAACCACAGCATGATCTGTCCTATCCTGAAGAAGGGTGATGCCACATTGCGCACCAATTACCGTGGCATTAGTCTTCTTCCAGTCGCATACAAGGTCCTTACGAGCGTACTATGTGAAAACCTGAAACCCCATGCTGAAGCACTGATTGGACCTTATCAGTGCGGGTTCAGGCCTGGCAAATCCACTATGGACCAGATTTTCACCTTGCGCCAAATCCTGGAGAAGTCCTACGAAAATCAGATCGACACATATCACCTCTTCGTCGATTACAAGGCTGCATTCGATAGTCCCCGGCGAGATCGCCTGTATGCCGCCATGTCTGAGCTTGGTATACCAGCAAAGCTAATACGGCTTTGCATGATGACATTGAGCAACACCATCAGCTCTGTCAGGGTAGGAAATGACCAATCCGAAACCTTTTATACCAAGTGTGGTCTCAGACAAGGCGACTCGCTGTCTTGTATGCTCTTCAACATTCTAATGGAGAGTATTATAAGGAAGGCTGGAGTGCATCGGACGGGCACTATTCTAACAAACAGATGTGTCCAACTCCTTGGCTACGCTGATGATATTGATATCATTGGCCGAACCAAGCGTGATGTTACAGCAGCCTTCGGGGCTATTGAAAAAGAGTCAGCTAAAGTAGGACTGGCAGTTAACATGGATAAGACAAAGTTTATGGTGTGCTCTAGCAGGGAATCGCGGCGTCTTGATTCCCAGCTATCTGCAGGAAGCCATAGCTTTGAGTTCGTGAAGGAATTCATTTACCTTGGATCTGCAATAAGTGGCACAAATGATGTCAGCCTGGAGATTAAGCGGAGAATCACACTTGCCAACAGGTGCTACTTTGGGCTCAGTAGGCACTTTAACAGTAGAGCTCTCTCTCGACCGACAAAAATAACACTCTACAGGACGCTCATTCTTCCAGTACTCTTATATGGTGCGGAGTGCTGGACAGTGGTGCAATCCGATGCAGCTGCTCTTGGAGTGTTCGAGAGAAAGATTCTCCGCAAAATCTTTGGTCCAACCTGCGTTGGCGATGCTTATCGCATCAGATGGAACCACGAGCTGTATGAGCTGTACGGGGATGTTGATATAGTAAGCCGAGTCAAAATTCAAAGACTCCGCTGGCTGGGTCACATCGCCCGCATGGAAGAAGACGCTCCGGCTCGTAAGGTATTTGATGCGGTAATCGTCGGAAAACGGAGGAGAGGACGACCCCGGATACGTTGGCAGGACCAGGTGATGGAAGCCCTGTCTACATCTGGTGTTACCAACTGGCGAGCGCGGGCCCAGGACAGGGAAGCGTGGAGGCAGATTGTGCAACAGGCTGTGACCCGATAGGGTTGTGATGGCCATTAATAATAATAATTATCCTTATCTTAAGAAAGCGTTCCATATACTTCAGCCGAAGCAGTAAGAAAATTGCCAATTAGCCAAGTAAAAGTAATTAGTAAAATCATTTGAATATTGTTACATCAACTTGAGTATAAAATAATTTAAAATAGCTTAGGCATTTAGCTATATGTATTCACAAACATTATTGTAATGCACCAGTAATTTTGAAAGTAAAGTCGCCTGATTTGTGAATTTCAGTATAAAAATTAGTTTGTAATTTGAATTTTGTATACTTGTTTTTTGTAATTTAATTTATAATTATAAGTTATAATTATTTCTTTAGAAATTAATTAAATATTCCCGAAATAAAACCTTTCAAATCGATTGATGCTTTAATGTTTATCTTCCGTTTACCATTTGGCTGGTTAGGGAATTGAAGTAAAATATAGAATCCACTTCAGGCAACATTTATCTCGTTTTGGCACCCACTTTGACTGCTTTTTGGCCCCCAGGATGTCTATCAATGATTTTGGGATCGCTCGTTATGCTCATCACGTTGGCCGCATTAATTTGCACACACGATAACCCAGCAAACTGGGGGGATCCCTTACCAAAACCACCGACTTCTGGGGGCAATGCAACGCCTGACGCTAGATTTGCTTTATATGAGCTGCAAATTGGTTGCTCACGTAAATGATTTTCATTTTCCAATCATAACATTACGCGTGCCTGCACTGCCAAATGCTCACCTGGTGATGGGAAAACCCAACCCAATGGAAATGGAGATGGGAAAGTGGGGAAAAAAACCGTAAACATTTGCGGGACTCACAATTTGATTTTTCCCCCGGATTCGCGGCTGTTGCTGCTGATTACAATGAGGCGGCGAATTGAATTAACATATTGGCCGGCGGGCGGAATTATGGCTCTGAAAAGCTCTGGATATGGCTTAAATTGTCTGCAAATAATTTTCCCATGGATTGTGAAGGGGATTCGGCGAGGGGCGATTCAATTATTTATGGCCTCATGCGCGACTTGTTTGCCTTTGTTAATGACGAGGCGGAAAGCAAAAAAGCGCAAACTGCCGGCAATTGGCAGCAGCTGAAACAGGAGCCAGGAACCCAGGATCCTTTGGTTTGGCTGCTCGCAAAAAAAGTTAATTAAAAGTGCAATCAAGCAGCAGCCCCGGACCACAGAAAGCGATGGGAGCCACAGGGCGGGGACCATAGAGCATCAGGTCCTGAACGATGCTGACATTTTGCCTGCAACCTAGACGAGAAAAATAGACGAAGGCGATGAAAGTAATTTT